AATTCTTCACTCATGCACTGTATGATCAACAGTTGAAACAAGTTCCACTTTTGAACATTTTAATTGTTATAAGTCCTAGTGACTTGAGCCTTTGAAGAACAGTGCCCTTAGTCTACATCGAAAAGAGTGATGTCTTCTCGGTGTCGGTCCTGCCCTTCACTGCCTGCCTTGAGATAACCGGGGCAGTTTTGAGTGGATATGCACTTCTTTGACAAAAGCTCCACCCTTGTATAACATTATTAAATTGAGAACTTGGGGAATTTAAGAGCTAATTCTTTAGCCCTGACAGTAGTGTGATAGCACTTTAAGGAACCTCACAAGACTGAGATTTCAAACTTCATTGTTGATTGGAAGTCTAATCCCTTTGGGATGAATGTCCACATTCATTTAGCATCTGGTTTTGACTGAGGGCAAGATAATGAGTTCATTTGTGTTGCAGATGAGCATTTGGTTCTGATTTCCATCTATTTCTAGATCATGTCCTCTGAATAGCAATTGCACTTCAAATTGCTTCGCAGAGGAACTGAGAAGCCTGCATCCACTTTGAAATTCTAATAGATCTGAGCACCACCAAAGTTTAAACCCAAGTGCAAGATTTTGGGTCCCTCCTCCTCAAAGAAGTGAACTTGCTGCTCTGTTGCAACATGATCTGGAGGCCAGGGATGTGGGACATGGCTCTATAATAAAGTGCCTTCTTTGCATGCAGAAGACCTGAGTTCAAGAGTTCAATCCCTGGCAGTACGTACCCCCCCCCCGACACACACACACACAGAGTGATTTGGTATAGCCAACTTTAAGTTTAGATAATGAAAAATTGGAGTAACAATAAATTCACCCTTCTAGAATCAAGAATATTTGGATATTTCTAGTAGAACAGAGTAAGTTCTAGACAATCATTGTGCTTGATGGTCCTCCATTCACTAGAATGCCTCTTTATTAAGTAATTGATTTACTCTTTCACCTCATATCTCTCCATATCAATTTCTTCCCTCTTCTTAAAATAATTCTACTTGGGATTCCTGGAACCAAAAGCTCCAAACCAGAATATAGTTCTGCTATTTAAGGAAGTCTCTGCTCTGTGGTATAGTATGTAATATTTTGTCTCATTTTTCCCACTAAGCCAGAAACCCCACCATTGATCCTCTCCACACTGAGCATCCCAACACTCTTATTATTTGACTCTCAGGGTCTTTCTGAGTCTGGACACAGCCTCAGAACCTATCACTGTGACCCTGGAAACCACCACTTGCTTGAATTTGGTGGGCAGAAGATGTTGGCCATTCCACAAGTGTGCTGTCAAACTCATCATTTGCCAAAGGTGGTTTGTGACGGAGCCTAGCAGGTGCTCCGGTCAGATCCCACCCTCTGACTGCCAGTGAGCAGCACTATTAGCAGGAAAACAGCCACTTCCCTCTGCCCCCTCCACCTCCTGAGCTCCCATCACTTACTGGACTGAATTCCAGCGGCTCTTCATTCCATCATTTCATTGTGTCAAATGAACATATACCTTACTCACTTCCTAGAACCGATTTCTATTAAGTCCCATTGACTTGCTTCTCCCATAGACTCTGTGAGACTTTTATACCAAAACAATGTGATGTTCTTTTTAAGACTTTGACTTACAACTGTCAGGATGAACTTAGTGCCTTTCTAGGCAGAAGAATTTTTTCTTCTTTGCCAACTTCATAGAAATGTCCTAATCACCAGTTACCAACATCACAGGGGAAAAAAAAAATCACATTGGCTTTTCCTTTTTTTAATGTTATAGCCAATACCTGTTTAAACTAGAATGGGTTTGGCTAACCTGGCAAGTGGAGGACCATTTTGGAAACTGAAACACATCTCAGGGACAGGCCGAAGAAGAGGGGAGCTCTGAAATTAATGCTCAAAAAACAAGTGCTACCCAGCGGAGCCGACTTGAGACATTTGTTAACTATCACATGCCCAGGGAGTGATGGCAGGATTTCAGAGTCCAACCAAGGCAAGACCACAGATAGGAAACTTCCAGCAGAATGAATCCCAGTCCCACTCTCTAGAACGCCTTCACAGCACTCAGATGGATGCTGGCTCCTAGCCTCCAATGGTTACCAGCCAGGCTATGTGAGGAACTGGGAGACCCCTTGCCCCACTCCATGACCCAGGCAGCTCTCTGCCCCAAGTCACCACTTCTCAGATTCCAGAAGTGGGAAGACCCATTTGGAACCTTTAGTGTAATAATTTGCATTTCCTGGGGCTGGAGTGATAGCACAGTGGGTCGGGCGTTTGCCTTGCACGCGGCCAACCTGGGTTCAATTCCCAGCATCCCATATGGTCCCCTGAGCTACCGCCAGGAGTAATTCCTGAGTGTAGAGCCAGCAACAACCCCTGTGCATTGCCAGGTGTGACCCAAAAGGCCAAAAAATAAATAAAATAATTTGCATTTCCTGGAGCAAAGAGCTTTTTGTGGGTAAGTCTCTAAATGAACCCCCTGGTCTGTCTCCCCCAGGGTCTTGGTCCTGTGCTTCCCCTGCTCCTTGTCTGCACAAGACACTTCACACTTCACACATCCTCTTCACACTGAGCAAACTGCATAGCAATGGGAACAGGAGCCACTACTGAAGTAGACAAGTGCATGCATTAAAAATCGTACCTCACTGTTTCCTGGTCCTCTTTCTGAAAGGCACCATCTATGCCCCAAGTCTCAGCATCCACAGAACTTTGGGAAGAAGATGTTACGTGGCTGGGTTTCCCATGCCACCAAAGCAGGGTGATGGGAAAAGATGGTCTCTGTGGCTCTTCTGTCAGACACATTCCTAGAAAGAAGAGACAACCATCATTTTCTGTGGTTGTCTCCTCTTGACTGTTCTCTGAGCCTCAGCAGGTGATCTGTCTCTTCCCTATGCCTTTCCTGCTGCTCCTGTTCTGAGAGTCCCTGCTGGAAAGTGAGCCCAGAGAGGGGAGTGTGGGATATTAAAAACCTGTCTTCCAAGAATTACATTGATAAGCCGAATGAGAGTGGGAAGTTGAATCATTTCTGGGGGGTGGGGACAGGTCAGTTGGGGTAGGGACTACTTCCGGCTCTGTGCCCAAGGGTCACTCCTGGTAGTACTTGGGGGAACCACACATGGTGCAGGGATCAAGCCGGAGTTGGCCACATGTCAGACAACTGCCTTAATCCTCTTCACTATTTCCCTGGCCCTAAAGCATCTCGAGTGTCTGTTTTTCAGCCCATCCAGCTTCCCACTGGCCAGAGGAACCGAAAGCATCACGTACCAAGAAGAACCACACAAAACATTTATATCCCTTTATTTTAGAATACCTGTAAACCCACAAATGATAAGGCACATTGTTCCCATACCATGGAGGGAGGAGACAGACACACCCAAGGGTCTTCCTGATTGAAGGCGAAGGGCACATACTTGAGGACAGAGGTTCACTGTTTCCCCCCTTCCTCAATTCAGATCACACAGTGAGCTACAGATATTTAACCCACTCCCATCGGCCGCTTCATCCCGTGCATTATCAACCTTCTCTGAAAGCAGCCAGGCTTTTGAAAATGAAGTCCTCATGTGCTTTTGGTCATTGGAGAAAAGGAAACACACACACACACTTGGAGAACTCTCACACACACACACACACACACACACACACACACACACACACACACAGAATTCAGGCCTTCTCAAGAATTCATGGAGAAATACACCCAGACTAAAGCCTTGCAGTATCTTTGGTCAAGTCCAGTCGAAAACAAACAAAACAAAAAAACCCAGAGGTGAAGCCCCACGGCAATAGGACTGGTGAAAAATTGAGTCACTCCTACAAGAGCAGGAGCCCAGAGTCAGCCAGGTTAGGTGACAGGGACCTTCTGTCCCTGGAGCCATTCCTAGGAAGCTGCCAGGAGTAATGATAGCTACATGTAAGAACATGGTTACTATCGGTTGGCTCATACATGGATATCCCATCAGACGGGATGTACCAACAGAAATGGCCACTGGTGCTAAATTTCATATGACACTTTAATTTTTTTTTTGGGGGGGGTTGATCAGTGGGAGAACACCTGGATATGCTTTGTACTTACTCCTGAATGTGCTCAGGGATCACTCCAAAAGTGCTCAGGGAACTCGAATGCTGAGGATCAAACCTGGGTCAGCCACATGCAAGGCAAGCGCCTTCCCGGGCTGTGCGATCACTCTGGCTCTCCGTATTTAGTTCAGCACCCACCCACTGAGTGAAGCATAATAATGCTTCATCAATAGATGGAGTGACCAGATCACAGCACCGGCCTCAGCGTGTTAAAAACCACACAGCGGTGTGATCCCAAACTTGGACTGAAGAGAGGGCACTACTGCTCAGTTATTTTTCAGCAGAAGAGAAAATGAAAAGTGTTCAGAGCGCTTAGGGGCTGGCACCCACGGCTACCGCACCCACTCTCCCTGCAGGAGGCAAGAGAAAGGGTTCCCACCCAGGAAGGACAAGATTGGAAAATGGACCATCCCCAGGTTCAGGAGAAGCAAGGGCTCTGCCCCATCCCCCACGGGGAAGAATTTCTCCAGGACACAGTGTGATGGAGCTGGCTCTGTTCCTGCTGAATCTTCGGTTTGCCGTTCCTGGCCACCACATGCAGCCCGGGGAGAGCTCACAGATCTGGGACTCAGTGTCTCTAAACACAAAGTGCATGGCCGAGGTCACTGTGCTCCAGGCGCACCATGGCAGTGCGCCACAGTTCTGGGCTTGGTTTCCCTCGGTTTAGGAAGAGGTAGGTAGGTCATCGGCAACACAAAGCACAGAGGGAGAGAGACGTCGGTGATGTTTGTTCACGGGGGCGTACAAGTAACATCCGCTCAAGCCTGGACCAAATGCTCATCCGCCACCGCCTAGCATCGCACGAGAGGCTCTCTGGGATGAGACGATCGGCATCCTGCGGGCACCGGGCACCACCAGCAAACTGTCTGGAGTTCCTTGTCGCAGGGTACCCACCAAACACCAGAGCCAGTAGCAATACCAGACAGAATTCACCTAGAGCACACGGCTTGTCCTTTGGGATAAGATGATGCACTTAACAAACAGGGTCCAAGCAGAGGGCAATTAAAAAAAACAATTTTTTTTTTAAAAAAAAGGGCTTTTGAGGGCCACACTCGTTACACAGGAAAGGAGCGAGCCCTGCCATCCGGGTCATGTGTCCTTCCTGACAGTTAACAGACTGACGTTGCTTGCTTCATCTAATTGCAGGTTTTTCTGGCTAAATTTTTTAATGAGGGTCCCAGGAACCAAGGCCACCAAGGCAATGGCCAACAGTTTAAAGATGGTTTCCCAGGAGAAAACAGCGTCCAGGGAGGTGAGGGTGGACAGGATGGAGCCCGTCTGCACACAGATGAAGTTGTATGGGATCAAACCTAGAGGAGGACAAGGGAAAGAGCCCGTTAGTGGGGGCAGGACAATGAATGACCCCCTCTTCGGAAACATCATCAATAATTCACAGGAGAGACTTGAGTACCCCTAGCTTCCTGCCCTACAGAGAGGCCCCCTTCCTCCTCCTGCAAACTTCTCCTCCTCACCTCACTGCCCAAATCTTTATTATTATGATTACTATTCTAGTGTGGGGCGCCACAACTGCCTATCCCCAAGGGCTTACTCCTGGCTCTGCCCTTAGGGATCACCTCTGGTGGTGCTCGAGGGACCATATGGGGTGCCAGGAATCAAACCTGGGTGAATCATATGCAAAGCAAGATCATAACTTTTGAACAATCTCCCCACCCACCAAGTCCCTGATTAGCAAAAGGCCTTGAGATGGTATGAAAGGGTGTTTCTAAAAAAGTAACGGGAAAAACAAAATAAAGAACAAAACAGCCAGTCGGGCAGTAGATTTGGGGGGCTGGAGGGATAGTACAACAGGGAGGGCATCTACCTTGCATGCAGCCATTTCAATCCCCAGCATCCCATAGTTCGATCCCCATCCCCTAAGCACCATCAGGAGCAATTCCTGAGTGCACAGCCAGGAGTAAACTTTGAGTATTATCGGATGTGACTCGAAAATAAAAAAAAAATAATAATAAAATTTTATAAATAAAATAAAAATAAAAGCCTCTTTCATCACAGAGCTGGTAGTACGCCCAGAGTACTACCATATGTGGCCCCCAAACCAAAAATAAGTAAAATACTTTTTTTAGGGGAGAAGGATGGAGAGATAGCACAGTAGGTAGGCACTTGCTGTGTACATGGCCAACCCAAGTTTGATCGTGGCATCTCATGGTCCCCCGAGCCATCAGGAGTGATCCCTGAGTACACAGCCAGGAATAAGGCATGAGCACCAGAGGACCAGGCCCAACGCCCCCCACCCCCTCAAAGCCCCTGCCCACGCCATACACTCCATAATTCTGACTGATCTGGGAATCCTTTCTAGAGCACATGATGCCTCAAGATGACAGATCACTCGGACGGGGGCAGCTCTGTTGGAGAACACTGGCCTTGCAGGTGCAAAGCCCCGGGTTCCATCCCGGGCACTGAAAAGTCAGACCACTCAAGGTCACACAGCCGGTCAGAGGGGGCTCTGGACCACAGGGCTCTTTTCCAAGCACTGCGCCTCCGAGAGATTTCAAGCTGCCAACTGAGGTCTGAGAGCTCATCGGTCCAGAATTAGCTGCGGAGTCAATTCTGGTTCAATTTAGGATCGTGATTTCTCTCAAGAATTCCCTATAAATAGCCGCTGCTCTAACGAAGCCAGTTTGACCTAAAGCCATAAGCAGCCCTTCTCTGCATGCTCGGAAGGGGGTTTCTGGGAGGCACATGCTGACTTAGAGAAAAGGGTTCACTTCAGGGGGGAGAGAGAGCACCGCGTGCTGGCACTTAGTTGTCTGCTCAAGGTCGTCCTCAGCCCAGACTGAACACGAGCCCCAGCTCTGCGTCCACCTGCTGGCTTAAAGAGGGAGCAAAGGACCTTACGGAAGGTCATCCCATCAGAAAAACTCCCCGGTATCACCAGCCAATCAGAACCAAGACAGGCCAAACCAGACCAGATGTCCTCTGCTGCTCTGTTTACTTCTGCCATCACTAACCTTCCTGCCGACACACCCTCCCTCCAGCCCTCCTTTCCTGTAAGCTTTAACCAGTGCCTTATCATAGGCCAAATCATTGACATATTACTCTTTCTTTAGGGGTTGAGGGGGCTGTTTGGGGCTACACCCAATGATGCTCAGCGCTTACTCCTGCCTCTGTGCTCAGGGGTTATTCCTGGAGGCGCTCAGGAGACCACTATGGTGCTGGGGATGAAAACAGGGTCAACCACACGCAAAGCAAGTGCATCAACCCCTGTGTTATCTCTCTGGACCCCCACCGATTACTCTTGCTCAGTGCCTGGCACAAAACAAGCACTAAACAAAACTGGAGAATGAGCCCGTCTTTTTTTCTACGTGTTCCAAAGTATTTGTGTAATAAATACACCGCAGGAGAGCTGAAACCCAGGTGTGTGCTCTGCAGCAAGCCCCCCCCACACCTGACTGCTGACCTAGGGCAGCCCCCCAACATGACAACTGTACGGCCCCTGCTTTGCTTGGCCGGCATCTTACCGATAAGCACAGAGAAGAAGAACTGCATCAGGGGGATGTTGAGGATCGGGGCGGAGAGGTTCAAGAACCAGTTTGGCGTCATGGGGAAAAGTCTCAAAAACAGCAAGAAAAAAAACAAGCTGTTCCTGTTCTCCTCCACCTGCAGCCAACAAAGACACAGCATTAGGGACCGGGGTGGCCAGCAAGTTGGGGCTGCAGCGCCCGGATTCTGGCACTTTCCAGATACTGGGGCCGAATCTGCCCAGAGCCCTCCAAAACTCTTTTCTGGTTCCATCCCTGCAGTGTCGGGGATTGAACTCAGAACCTCACACGAGAGGGGTGAGCCCTCCCACTGGCTGCTGCCCGTTTTCATTCTGTTTTCCAACAGAGGCCCGGAAACGTATAGGATGTAACCAAAGTTCGCAGACTCGGCGAGGACAGAGCAGGCCTTCTGTCGCAGGGGTTGGTGTCATCTAAAGGACCCCTTAAACGTCCCACAGCAGGACCAGAGCACTGTGGCAGACCCCGGCTCCCCGACTTGGATGGGGGGGATTCTCAGGGAGAGGGGGGAGGGGGGCCTGCCCTTACCTTCCTCTGCAGCAGGGTGACTTTGTCGGGGAAATAGGACATGACCAGCTGCTTGCCGAAAAGGCTGGAGAGCAGGTAGCAGCAGGTGGCACCCACGGAGGTCAGCACGCAGCACAGAAACAGCCCCAGCCACGGCCCGAACAGGGCCCCGGCTAACAAGTTCTGCAAGGGAGACGGTCATCAGGTATGGGGGGCTCGTCAGGGAGGAGGCTGAGTGTCCCCAGGATGGAGGGGATGGAGAAAAACACAAGAGACATGTGCAGAAGTGTCTCAGAGGGAACGCTCGCCCCAGAGAGAGAGAGAGAGAGAGAGAGCCTGAGGAGTCGGGGCCGAGAAGCCAGCCCGATGTGGCAAGCACTTGACTACGTGACGTGGCCTAATTCACCTCACAGCAGCCCTGAGTCACTATCTCCAGGGGGGGAAAGGTCACGATCTGCATCGGAGGTCACATACTATCTTATTCCGTGCTGTGCCAAGGCTGGCACGGGCTTGCCTTCGGAGAGCAGCTGCTGGCTCTCTGCCCTGCAGAGGGCAAAGGGGACCGGGGTAACCTGAGGGGGTCAGCCTGACCTCAAGCACTTCCACCCTGATCCTGCCTCAGAACTGTTGGTTTGCCGTAGGGCAACAACGGGGGCTTGGAGCCGAGGGCAGAGGTGGGTTGGGTCGAGAAGAGAGCAGCAGGGAGCTTGCAGGGCATCCTCCATGGACCCCCAAGCTCTCCGAGGACACCGCATCCTTGCCAGGCTTTCTGCACCCAGGGGGGCAACCCGCCCTCCTGCAGCACAGCCCTCGGGTGCACGAGGAGTATGCCCTCTCCACAGATGGGAAATGGGCTGGAAAGGGCAGCTGACGCGACCCCCTCACACAGCAGGGACCTGAACCCAACCCAAGCCCTGTCACAGGCTCACACTGATCTGAACTTACTTCCGAGGCTGCTGGGGAGACGGCTCAAGCGGCAATGCCCACCCTGTGCCAGTACCAGGCCCCGAGGGGGGATCCCAGCCCTGCCTGGCCTCTCTGCACCCTGAGTACCAGCGATGGCCCCGGGACCACCGGGGATCCCCAATGCCGCTGGGAGCCGAGCTCTGCTGGGAGTGGTCTGAACTGCAGGCAAATTAATAATACTAATATTAATAAAATAAGTAAAGAAAGGGCTGTGTTTGACTACAACAGACTTGTCTCTGTAACCCAAGTTGGCAACTCCAAGAGCAGGAAGCCCAGACCCATCGCTGCAGCCCGTAGGATGCTTGTGGTCCCTAGGACTTCCCATTCCAGGCAGACCCCGAGTCCCTTCAGCCAAGTGCTTCCAAGAACAACTTCTACTCGCTAGTCCACCATTTCCCTCCCCGGGTGAGACAGAGGAATGCAAAAGTGAGGAGGAGGATGGGCCCGAGGCCCCAGAACTCCCACGTGCACCTGAGCAAACACCAAAGACAGTGCAAGGTCCTCCCCTCCTCACTTGCAACCTCACCTTTGCTGCCATTAGGGAATCAATGACTTGATATCTCATGATCCACTTCATTCTCTGGGATGTGGGAAATGAAGCCCATTCCTGGCTTTTGGGGGACCAATAAGGTCATACAGATTAAGCAAGCAGGACAAGTGCTTAATACAAAAGGTGGGGGGGAAGGGTGCAAGAGAGCGAGCGAGAGAGAGAGAGAGAGAGAGACAGACAGACAGACAGACAGACAGACAGACAGAACAGGAGGTAAGGCACTTTCCTGCAGCACCCCCGGTTTGAATAACACATATGGTCCCTAAGCAATGCCAGGAATCACTCCTGAGCACAGAGCCAGGAACAGCCCCCTGAGCATCATGGGGGTTGGGGGTGGCCCAAACCCTCCCTCCCTACCCCCATCAAAGGTCAAACAAAGAAGCTGGGAGCCTGGGACTGACTCAGAGGCTAAAGAACCTGCTCTGCAAGCATGAGGCTCTGAGTTGCATCCCTGGAGCTGCTCACATGGGCCAAGCACGGTCCTCGCAGCCCTGCTGTCTGAGATCCACAGTGACCAGTGCTCAGCCAGGTGTGTGAGCCCCACAGCTGAGGCATATAACACCCCCGCCCCCACCTTCACCATTAATCACAACAGCAACGGCGAGAAAAGAGGAATGAAGAAACCAAAGGCAAAGGTGGTGCGCGGGGAGGGCACTGACCAGGAAGCTGGAGCCGGGGATGGCGAAGCCCTGCTTATAGAGGTAGGCGCTGCAGAAGAGCAGGAACACGTAGGCCTCGTTCTCCTTACGGTACTCCCGGAGGACTTCGGAGAGCTCCCGCAGCTCAGCCAGGTCCGAGGGGAACGACAGTGACCTGGGGGTTTGGAGAAGAGAATGGAAACGTGAGTGGCCGTCAGCCGGGCGCCTGAGAAAGGCCCGGGGTATCTTCTCTAGAAGGTCGGGGGACCCACATGGCTGCCACCAGGCCGGCTGAAACACACGATGACACACACCATGATAGCACATGCAGGCAGGGGCGGCCAGGAGCAAGAGGCAGGAGGGGTCCACATCGAGGCGATGCTGAAAAATGGGGCCCAAGGCGCTGGCCTGGCACACAGTGTACCTGGGTTCGATCCCTGGCATCTCATATGGTCCCCTCAGGCTGCCAGGAGTGATTCTTGAGTGCAGAACCAGGAATAACTCCTGAGCATCGCTGGGTGTGCCCCACCCCCCCCCCAAAAAAGACTGTGGAAGATAAATATTTGAAGGCCCAGGGTGCAATCATCAAGCTCCTTCTATGCTCCCAGGTTTGGTTATCAACTCTTCAAAGGCAAACGGGGGGAGGGGCTGGAGAGATAGCACAGCGGGTAGGGCGTTTGCCTTGCACGCGGCCGACCCAGGTTCGATTCCCAGCATCCTATATGGTCCCCTGAACACCGCCAGGAGTAACTCCTGAGTGCAGAGCCAGGAGTAACCCCTGTGCATCGCCGGGTGTGACCCCAAAAAAAAAAAAAAAAGAAAACAAAGGCAAATGGGGTGCCAGAGTCATAGTAGAGTGGATAGAGTGCTTGCTTTGCATGAGGCCGACCAGTGTTCAATCCTCAGCATCCCACATGGTCCTTCTAAGTCCCACCAGGAGTGACCCCCTAGGCACAGAGCCAGCATTAAAACCTGAGCAACACAGGTGTGCTCCCCCCTCCCCACCCCGGTCATAAAAATAAATAAAAAGGCAACTGGATTTAGTCCCAGGAAGTTCTAAAGGTCCCGGTGGCTTTTTCTCAGGGTGCTTCCATTCCTCCGCAAGCCTGAGAAGTCAAGGACAAGTCCAACACAAGGCAGCCCTGAGTGATACCAAGCAAGATGGCTTTTATCAGTTGTCAACAAGCCCATCAAAAATTTCCCTGAGCAAGACTGACCCACCCCACAGACACAGCCTTCCAGATAAAGGCTCTGTGGGGCTGGAGGACAAGGCTTCCACGGGGACAGCGGTTTCTCTTTCTCGCCTCCTAATCTGGTCCTCCCGGTGTACTCTGAAACCCGGGCAAGGGTCACAGTGTAAAGGGTACCTGGTGTCCCTCTGCCACTGAAGGAGCGGTCCTTTCGGTCAAGCCCCTCGTCGCTGTCATCAGACACGCTCCCCAGGGAGGTTCGTCTGACACCCACAGCGCAGCAAAAGCAAACAGACGAGCACAGTAACTGGGCGCGGCCGCCCCCAGCCCATCTCGGACAGCGCGACGCGAGCCTGGCGCACCCGGGACAGGCCGGCCGGGTGGGGGGCGCGTAGCCCCCCGCCCCCACCCCGCTCGGGCCAGGGAGCAGACCCGGCTCGGGAGGTGCGGCCGGGAGGAGGCGCGGCCCCCAATGCTCATCCTCGGGAGAGTCAAGCGGGCGGGCCTCGGGCGGGCCTGGAGCCCCGAGGCCCTGAAGTCACAAGGGCAGACCCGACGGACGCCGAACCGGGGACCACCGAGGGGCTGCAAACACGCGGGTCGGGGGTCGGGGGGTTGCCTGGGAAGAGGCGGACCGAGCCCCAGCGGCTGCGTGCAGGGCTGCAATGACAGCTCGGCTCGGGGAGGGGGGGGGGGGGGGCGCCGCGCTCCACTCCAGAAAGCACGGCCCGGGCATCAGAACCGAACCCTCAACCCCGACGCCGATCCCGGGAGCCCGATCTCCGATTGCTCAACTCCAGCCCCCGCCACCGCCTCCACCTGCCTCGGCCCCCAGCACCCCCCCGCCCCCCAGCGCCCGCCACGCACCTGCCTTCCGCGTCCTCGCTGGAGCCCAGGGTCCGCCCGCGGGGCAGGCGCGTCGACAGCAAGTACAGGGCATAGGTGCAGCCCGCGAAGATGAGGAGCAGGCCGAGGAGGGGACGCATGTCGGCGGGCGCCCGCACCCGGGCCCGCCGGGAGCTGCGCACGAACCCGGAGCCGGTGCTAGAGCCGGACGCGGCGCGCGGACGGCGCCCGCGAGGCGCGTGCGCGGACAGGCCGGGGCGGGGCCTGAGACGAACCGCGCCCCGGGATAGGCTCCGCCCGGCGCCAGACCCCGCCTCTCCCCGGGGCAGGCCCCGCCCCCGATCCAGCCCCGCCCCCGAGACCTCAGCCCACCTCACGCCGGGGCGGGGACGCTCCTGGACACTTGCCTTTGCGGAGCCTCTTGGTGTTTGTCCGTCCCCCTTACTTCCGCCTGACTACATACATATATATATTTATATATACACACACACATACATACACATATGTGTATATATACGCATTTATTAATGCGTGTATTTATACGCATTTATATATATATATATATATATATTTACCCCTCACTCTTTCTCCCTTCACTAGGATATTCTCTCCCTGGTACTGGGAGACTCTTGAGTGAATCATGAGCCCTGCCCACAGCTAACTTGCAGTCTTTGGTGCACAAGCTGCTGCCCAGGGTCCAAGCACCTAGGAGAGAGAAAGCTTCTTTTTTTTTCTTTTTGGGCCACACCCTGCAATGCACAGGGGTTACTCCTGGATCATGCACTCAGGAATTACTCCTGGCGGTGCTCAGGGGACCCTATGGGATGCTGGGAATCAAACCCAGGTTGGCGCAAATGCCCTACCTGCTGTGCTATTGCTCCAGCCCCAAGAAAGTTTCTTTTATGGAGTTCGGGTGCATGGTCTTAAAGACCTCGACAATAATCAGAAGTGACTTTCATGGGATGCTTATTATATACTCATTAACTTCATATATAAGGAATGTTCATTATATGCTCATTGCCTCGAATCTTCACCCTAGTCCTGCACGGTAGGCATTTTTGTCTTTATTCATAATAGATGAAAAAAAATGTTTCCTATTAAGTGACATCTCCCCAAAGGGAAACTAAGATTAAAATTCAAGTCAACCTCCGTCCAAAGCTCTTACACTGCATCCGTTCATGGCGCCAGCAGGATTTGAATGTCTTAAGGAAGAGGCAGAAATCCCACAACAGGGAACAGAAGGGTGGAAGGAGACAGGGGATAGGAAGTTTCAGTGATGTCTGAGGTGTATGAAAAATAGGAGGAGGGGGTGGCAAACTGGAGAGCATTGAAAGGAGGGGTAGAGGAATTTTAAACATTGTGTTGAGATACTAAAGGATGTGTTTAGACAAAAGAATAATTGGATTCCTGATGAGGATGTTAGTTCTAGGGGGCAGGCATTTAGAATACATCCTGAGTTAGCAACTCATTTGTTTGGGGGAAGGGGAACATATCTGACTGTGCTCAGTCCTTACTCCTGGCTTTATGCTCAGGGATCACTCCTGGAGGGGGTTCAGAAAACCATATGAGGTGCCTGGGATTGCCAGGCAAGTGCCTTACCCACTGCATTATCTTGCATTTCACTCTAGCCCCAGAGTTAACTCTTTACAAACCTGACAAAGAAAAGCTGCCCACCTGTGCCAAGACCTCAGCCAGTGAAAACCAAGGGAGAAAGATGGATGGACAAAGGCCCTGAACTGGCGATATGTATGTAGGAGTCAGTGGAGGTGTTATAGGCATTCAGGTTCTTGTCCAGCAAACAGCCAGGGACTTGAGATCAAATGATGGGATTCAGAAAAGACTTTAAAGAGAGAGAAGGGAAAGGGAAAGGATGCAGGGAATTTCCCAGATTATGAAAGGGCTCTCATAAAAAAAAGGATTCCAGAGAAAGGCAGACATCCTTCTCCTTTTATACCTTCTTAACAAAGGTGTGTGGGCATTTCTTTACCATGGTCCAAGAAAGTGGGTCATAAAACAGGGGTGAGAATGTCGAAATGATTATCTTCGGCTGTCCAGATCCTCAGGACCTCCGTCACCCAAATTATCAGGCACCATCTAGCCACCCTCGTGACCTGCCATACCAGATGATTCCCTTTCTTCAGTGACATTGCTGTAATCTTGTACTTCCTGTTTCCCTTGTCCCTATCAAAGGGACAGGGAGAACTCCAAAATCTCACTAGCCTAAACAGGCCATATTCTAAGGTCAAATCATTCAAAGCATCTCTTGAGTCAAAGAGAGAGAACCTGGCAGTGGAAGTACAAAAGCCTTAATGGTTCCATGTCCAAGAATTTAACCTATCCCTTTCAGTAAGAGTATTGCAAGTCACAGTATCTAAATGAAAAAAAAAAAAGGGTAAAAGAGTGAGAGAGAGTGAGAGAAAAATGTCTGCCATAGAAGCAGGCTAAGGGGATAGGGGCAGGTGGTGGTGGGAAATGTACACTGGTGAAGCCAGGTGTCGGAACATTGTATGGCTGAACACAACCATAAACAACTTCGTCATTGTGAATCTCATGGTGATTAAATTTCAAAGAAAAACACCTTAAGAAAAAAGAATTTAACCAACGATACACACACGAGAAGACAAAGATGCATCTCAAGAGTATTTAATCTCTCCACTTGGTTGAGCTATTAGGAAGTTGAGAATAACCTAAATGGCCATGATTTGGGAGTTCACTTGATCACTTGACTTCCCATTAATCATCGATTTTGCTCGAGCGGGTGCCAGTAACGTCTCCATTCGTCCCTGTCACGGCAGAGCCTGGCAAGCTATCCGTTGTGTATTCGATTTGCCAAAACCAGTAATTACAATGGGTCTCGTTCCCCTGACCCTGAAGGAGTCACCAATATGGCAGCGTTGAGAAGGATAAGGAAGGAGAGGCTGATAAAATCTCAAGGCCGAACTAGGCTGCCAAAACGAAGAAAGACAAATTACAATGGGTCTCATTTGGGAGTTAGCTGAATTTAATATGCTGTGTTCACAAATGGAACACTAGGTAGTCTCCTAATTCAGGCAGCTCTTGACATCTTGATACGGCACAGTCACCAGATGGCTAGGGTAAAAATCAAACAAGTTAGCGTATACTACGACTCATCTGCAAGGAGGAGAAAAAAAAACTAGATATGATATGCTTTTCAAAATATGGAAGTATTTATGAATGAAATGATTCAGGAGCTGGAATTTGCTTCAAGATTATGGGATAGGAACTAAGTGGATAGGGGTGCAAATAAAACAAGCTTGGCTGCCAGGTGCTCATTGAAACTGGAGGATGGACCTGTGGTGATTACAGATTGTCTCTAGAGGGCACTAGGACAGTTCAATGGTGAAGTGCCAGCCTTAGAGGCAGGAGGCCTAGAGTTTGATCCCTGCGCCACCCACACGCCAATCCATGCAGCACCACTTTTATCATTCCCTGACACGACATCCAAAACTGATAATCCAGTACTGGGTGTGTGAAACCAGGGCGTGCACCCCTTCCAGGGCACCACATTAAGTATTGAAATGCTTAATTGTGAACACCACAGCCTCATGTTTATCATTTCCAGTAATCCCAGCAACTGCAAAACAAAGAGAAGAGGCGGGGGCGGGGATAAACAGGAAAACACAGCCATCACAGTTACTAGGTAGACTGACAGATAATTTTTCTTTGGCATCTACACATTTTCTGAATGTTGATCAAAAATCATGGGTTGCATGAGGATGAAATAAAAAAGACTTTTTTAAATTTTTTTTTTTAGAATGGCTAAAATGATGGTTGTCCATCAGCTAGAGCAGTTGTATAGCAGGTAGAGTTTCCTTGCACATGACTGGCTGGGGTTCGATCCCCAACACCCCATATGTCTCCTGGGCCCGCCAGGAGTGAAATCTGAGCACAGAGCCAGGAGTAATTTCCTGACATGACATCCAAAACTGATACTGTGCATAGCCAGGTGTGGTCCAGAACCAAAAACAAAACCAAGAGATGACGGTTGTCTATGAGGGGATCCTTCTTCCACAGTCTCCATCTGCTGTCACCGTGAGCGAAATGACCCTCTGCTTCTTCTACCCTGGCCTCTTCCCCGCACACATCCTCATTCAGCAGCTGCCCCCTTGGCTGGCCCATCGCACCCAGCAAAATCTCCCAGGGGAGGCAGGAAGCCAGGGACAGAGGTTCCCTTGCCTTCCCCAAACAAAGGGCCCAGGGCAGGGCTGGTGAGAAGCAGCACCCACGTTGCAAATTAGAAAAGTCCTATTAAAATAAACAAAAGCAAATTCACATTTCTCCAATCCCTCACCGGTGTGGCACCCAGGATATGGCAAAGCTCCTTTCACAGACTTGTTGGCCAATCCATACCATCGCCCATGGAGGTAAGGGAATCTCCACAACCTTATCCTGCCAGGACCTGGGGGGACTGGATTTAGGGATATGGAACTGAGCCCAAACATAGGTCTCCAGGGGCCAGAGAAGTAGTATAGTGGTTAAGGCACAGATCTCAGTTCCATCCTGGTTAAATGCATGACCCCTAGAGCATCCCTGGGTACAGCCCTGATGCCCACCCCCATCTCACTGCTAGTGTGGCCCAGGTGTCCCTGATACTGCAGGGTCCAGCAGCACCATGTTTTCAGGTCCTGGCAGTGAAACGTTTGGCTAAGAATCACCTCAGGAGCCCCGGGAGCACTTCCTCCAAACAAAGGGAGGTTTCCCACACGGCTTCCTCTCGATCCACAGTGACTCCTGAGCTGGTAGAAGGGACTGGCAGGAGAATGACAGAAATCAACAAAGGAAGCTTGGGAGCAGCAATAGGTCATTTCCGACTTGCCCTACTTCGGAGATCACCCCTCGCCCCTCGCTACTTTACAATCCAAGGCCAACTGGCGTTTTGCAATGTGCCACCCAATGGTTAGTCTGTCCTTCTCGTGCCTTAAGGGAAAGGTGTGGTGAAGCTTCTCCAAACACCTGTATTTGTGTCTCTCTGGACTCCTGGTCCACATTTTCTCACAGCTGCAGCAGCAACTTTGGGCAAGAAACAGGGTTGAAGAACGTTTCCACGTTTTCCAACAGCACTACATCGTATCGACACAAGTGAGGCCTAGAAGAACAGGGAGAAAGATTCTCATCAATAAAATCATTCTCATCAATAAAATCACAGGCTAGTATGCTTTCTTGAATCCTTAAGTGTACAAAATGACTTAGCCATCATTTATAATGATGCAGGAAAAGGCTATGGTGAATAAACAAAAATCCTCATCGTTGAGAAAGCAGGAGGCAAAAGTTCATTCGCCAACACAGTTTCAACTGGATTTGCGATGGTCATAGAACGATGAGAAAGAAATCACAAAATATGAGCAGTAATTGCCTCTGAATAATGATTTCATGGGTGATATTATTCTGTTTGCTAGCCCTTCCTGGGCTTTCCAGGTTTTGTACAACAAAATCTTTATCCTCTGATAATCAGGGGGAAATGTTTCACAGTTTAAAAAAAAAATGTAATGATGTATAATCTCATTAACCGCTATGATCCAGTGACTCAATAATAAATCTCTCAAGAGAGAGCACAGAACAATATGCCGTAGAGATGCCTCCAGATCCCTTGCCAGGCTGTTTCATTTGGGGCAACCCAGAGGGGGACAGGTGAGGTCCCCTTCCCATCCCAACAGAGCCAGCCCCGGCAGCCGACAACCTCCAGAACTCAACCGACACCAGGCTCACGGCCTCACCTATAGAGGAATCTATTCCTGGACATCTCGTACTTCACACCACCAATACATCAAGAGTAGCACATCACATTTGATGGGGTTTAAAGTAGAAGTAACAAATCTTAGGGGGAAATACATTTATACAGATATAAGCACACAAGGCTCAACCTTTAACAGCATATTTCTACATGTCTTATAGAAGGACTTAATGGCTCCTGGGTGAACTACAACAATCTTCACACACTTTCTTCTAAGAAAATGTTTTCGGATCATTTTTAGCATAGTATTCATAACAGGCAATATAAAATAAATTACTTTGGTTCTGCTTCCAGGGAAGGGTTTGGAGTTGGGGATGGAAATACAGTGGTGGGAAGGTGTAATGGTGGTGGGATTTGTGTTTGAATATCAAATGTAATCAATTATTTATAATTTATAAAAATAAAAAAAATAAAATTTAAAAACAATGTAATGATGATGGGGCCAGAGCAATAGTACAGTGGGTAGGGCTCCTGCCTTGCATGCAGTGGTCCCAGGTTCAATCCCCGGCATCCAACATGGTTCCCCAAGCACTGCCAGGAGTGATTCCCAAGTTCAGAGCCAGGAGAAAGTTCTGAGCATTGTCAGGCGTGTCCCCCACCAAAAAATAAAAGAGTAATGAGGATCATTCTAAAAGACACTTCATTGTTAAATATTTTACCCAAACCTTCAGGAAAAACATGAATTCATAAACATGAAGTACTAGTCATTCACATCGTTTTCTTCTATCTATGGATCAGATGCTGGGACTATGTTATTGCCACCAGTGACATCTGTCACAAAACATACCAGATCATCTCAGCTCTGCACATAAAAAAATAATAATCATTCTTGGGGGTTGGAGTGACAGTGCAGCAGGTAGGCATTTGCTTTGCATGCAGCTGACTCAGGTTGGATCTCTGGCATCCCATCTGGCTCCCTGAGCCTGCCAGGAGTAAGCCCTGAACACAGCCAAGTGTGGCCCAAAACAAAAACAAAAACTAATTCATTCTCGATGCACATGGGTTGCTAGATCATGCTTCAGGTGTTGTCTACATCTCCCTTCTGGAGAAATGCACTTTCATGGGGTTGGAGCAATAGTACACTAGAGAGGATGAGTGCCTTGCATGTGGCCGATCCGGGTTCGATTTCTTGCATCCCATATGGTCCACTGAGCACCACCAGGAGTAATTCCTGAGTACAAAGCCAGGAGTAGCCCCTGAGTATTGTCAGGTGTGACCCCCCAAAAAAGCAAATTTTTTTTTAAAAAAAGAAAACATTTTTAATAAATAAATTTAAAAAAAAGAAATGCACTTTCACACTTTAACATGGGATATGTACTAAGGCTCCCCCAATCTGCTCTGGAGAAGCCTGAGTTCTCCTTTGAACACGCTGTGGTCTCTCTGTCTCAGTCTCGGTCTGTGTCTCTGTGTCTCTGTCTCTGTTTCTCTGTCTCTCATCTCTCTGTCTCTGTCTCTCTCTCCCTCCACACATCTCTGTCTCTGTCTCTCATCTCTCTGTCTCTGTTTCTCTCTCTCTCTCTCTCTCTGTCTCTCTCTCTCTCCCTCCACACATACACACTCTTCAGAACTTCAAATAAAACCTGCTTTTACTTTAAAAAAAAAATCTCCCTCGCGCTTCTCTTTCTTTCTTATCCTCTCTTCTTCTTCCCTCTCTATTTCTCTCCCCACCTCCACCTCCACCACACTACATTTGGTTTTTCTAAACCAGAGGGGAACGGGTTGTAACTCCTTAATTTCTTGGAAAAAGGACATTATTAGCAAAGTTAGCTAAATGTAACACTGATTTAGTAAGTACTTTGCCAATCTATCAGCGGAATAAAATTTTCCAATTTTTCTCTACCTTCAAAAACGCTTGGCCCTGCTCTGATTTATTGGTTTGTCAAATTATATGAAACTTTCTTCTGGACAACAAATTAACTTTCCAGCAGTGTGGGTGGTAAAGGAGGTATTATATAATTCCAAACATATAATAGCATTGTCTCCTTGGATTTCTGGGCCATTTATCTTTAAGTGAGTGCCAGTATAATTTTCAAGGATCACTAGGCTATTTATTTTTATCAAGTCTATTTTGGGAAAACCCCTGACTTTCTTCATCCTGACTGGCCAAGACATATTCAGACACAGATTCACTGCAGAAGAGATAATACAGCAGGTAAGGCACTTTCTCTGCCTGCAGCTGGCTTGGTTTTTAATCCCTGGCCCACATATGGTTCCCAAAGCACTGCCAGAAATAAACCTTGAGCGCAGCCAGGTGTGGCCCCCAAACAAAACACTGTCACACTGTCCTCCCGTTGTTCGTCGATTTTTGCTTGAGCGGGCCCAGTAACGTCTCCATTTTAATACTTGTTGTTACTATGTTTGGCATATTGAATACGGGGAGCTTGCCAGGCTTTGCCGTGCAGGCGAGATACTCTTGGTACTTTAATCGTGCTCTCCAAGAGGGGCGGAGGAATCAAACCCGGCTCTGCCGGGCTGGCTGTGCGCAAGGCAAATGCCCTACCGCTGTGCTATCGCTCCAGCCCAAACAAAACAAATAAACAAAACCAAATATTGGATAGACAGACTGAAGAGAATGCAACAGTATCTTTAGAAATTGGGGTTCATTAAACCCCACCTCCACCTCACCTGTCAGGATGAACAAGTGATCGTAATTTCATTCGAATAATCCGAAGTTTGTACTTTGGGCCTATGGTAGACCCTGTAGAGAATATCAAGGAGATGTTTGCCACTTTCTCCAGATCTTGATTAAATCTTGCAAGCATGCTCACTTGGTGGTATTTCTGAAAGGTTGTGGGTTCACTGGATGGAAGGAATAATGTGTTAAAAGATATAAAGCTTTATAAAATTAGATATAGACTGAGCAAAGGTATTATCAGCTTTTTTGGCTACAGATAACTCATTCACAGGGAGTCACTTGACTTCATGACTTGGATGAGCCAACTTTTATCATTGAAACCAGAATAAATCCAAAGATAAACTGCATTCCACCCACTTCAGATGAACCCCTAGTGGCTACAAACTTTCAGAAGAAAAACCCAGGTACTCGGGAACAGGGTCTGAAGACCCCAGGCCACATGACTGTGGAGGTGGTTTGTCCCCTGCCCCTGAGAGGTCCTGACTGTCAAGCCCATGAACTGCTTCCGGACCCTATTTAAGCACATCACCAGCCTTGATCCAGAGACTCACAAATGAATCTCAAAATGGATTCGCTCCCTACAGAGATGTTTCTGGACCCCAATCATTTACATATTTAAAACTCCGGGAGCATGTGGCTGCTCTTGCAGCCACGAAACCTCTCATGATATTCATAATAAGCAATAGAAAATCAGTGATCTAGAATCTGCCCGTGGCAGGCAGGCTTAAATGGTGGTGGGAAAATTCAAAATAATAGTGGTGGGAAGGTGTAATGGTGGTGGGATTGGTGTTGAAATATTGAATGTAATCAATGTGAACAACCTTATGAAAATTAAAATTTTTAAATTTTAAAAATTTTTAAAAAGATAAACTGCATTGCTAGACTCAAACATTTATTCTTACGCAAACTAGGAAAGGTGAGGAGACTATACAAAAGGTCATTAAATTGTAAACTTCAAGAAATGAATTTTATGGTAAATCTCAGTTTCTGCAAGTGTTCAAAAATACAGGTAAACTGTGAATTCTTGGAAATCCATTGGGTAAATGAGCCTCCATTTGTATCCATAGTCTGTAACAATAACTTAAGTCCCTTATCAAAAGTTCTGATAGTGTTCCCTTTTTTTAATCTTACATTGCAAACATACTAAAATGTATACTTTGCACTAAAAGCACAAAGTGTTCATAATCTTACCACGTTTCAGAACACCTATTTCCTTCCACCTAGTCTCTGACTAAAGATGGCTTTTCACAAACGTGATTAAAATGAAAATGGCAAAACACATCTAAAATAAAAGTGTTAAAGTCTCTATTTTTTTTTTCTTTTTGGGTCGCACCCAGCGATGCTCAGGGGTTGCTCCTGGCTCTGCACTCAGGAATCAGTCCTTGAGGTGCTCAGGGGACCATATGGGATGCTGAGAATCAAACCCAGGTCGGATGCGTGCAAGGCAAACACCCTCCCCACTGTGCCATTGCTCCAGCCCCTAAAGTCTCTATCTTAACCAAGATCCAAACTTCCAATTTTAGAGAGTGCTAGTTGAGAGAAATTCACCGTGTCAAATGAATACATGTAACAGGTATATGGCACAAATATGTAAGTTATTTTAGGGGCTAGAAAGATAGTACAGCAGAGAGGGTGCTTGCTTAGCAAGTTGCCAACCCTGGTTCAATCCACAACATCCCGTTTGGTACCCCAAACACCGCTGGGGGTGATTCCTGAGTTCAGAGCCAGGAGTACTGCTAGCCCTGGTGTGGCCCCCAAACAAAAATATGTAAGAGGTTCTGTTTTGCATTTTTATTAAATTATTTTTTAATCTTTGGTTCACACAGCAATGCTCACAGGTTCCTCCTGAGCCTGCGCTCAGAGATCAGAGATCATTCACGGTGGTGCTCAGGGGACCATATGGGATACCAGGGATTGAGCCCCGGTTGGCCGCGTGCAAGGCCAGCGCCCTCTCCGCTGTACTATCCAGTCCCAGTCCCGGTAAGCAATTGCTAACACAAACAGCACAGCTTTGCTGGCGCCCACAGCATCCCCTGCCTTTCCTCAGGATGTCCAGAAGAGGTCTCTGCTTAGCTTCCTCTCTCAAGCACATCAGACACCCCAAAAGCTACCTGAGCTGCTGCCTTCCGATGCCCCCTAGCGGGATCGGGGGCAATCTGTGGGCTGAGAGCTGGTACTGAGCTCTCGGTTCAGATCCAGGGAACCTTTAAAGACACTCACAACTCCAGGACCTCTCAGCACCGGGGATGCAGTCCAGGAAGGGCTGGGCGGACTTGCCTTGATTTCACTGATTCAACATTCATTCATAATCTTACTACATGAGGATTACTACAGCAATCTAACATATTTTGAAGTTTTTATTTTTTATATTGTTGAACTAATTTTTTTACTTCATACAACTTAAGATCCTACATTTTTTTTCACAGAGCACATTATAAATATTCCATTCAAAATGTTTCACAAAACCTTTAATGTATTAATAATATCCTGTTATGGGGGGGTCTATTCTATTATTTTATTTATTGAATGTGGTGGTATTCAGGGCTTGCTCCTGTCTCCATGCTCCAAGATCACTTCTTATCATATGAGTTCAGGGGACCATATGCAGTGCCAGAGGTTGAGATCAGGATCGCTAATGCAAGCGTCCTACCCACTGTACTATCTCTCTGACCCATTGGATGGGAACATTCACTTGGCCATTTCCCAATGGTAAATTTTTAAAGAACTTCCCATTTTCTAATGCAAATTTTATCTTCTGAGCTTCAGGAATATACTTACTGCTTGATTTTGGATACTGTGGTGCTCCCGGCTTTGTCTGTCAGTTTGATGGTGATGTAACCTTTTCTTATGTTCTTGTTCCAAGTCAAAATATCCACAAAGTAATGATATACTACAAAACAGGGAGCAAACATAGTAAGAGAGAAATATTTCTGCTTCCCTTAAGCGTCATCTCTTAAAAACCACAGTCCATCTAATAACAGGTTTATTTTTTCTTTCTCTCTAATTTCTCTGCAGAGATCTAAGGCAGAATTTTCTTGCATTCTTTTCTAGTCTCTTTAGCAAAGATGGCCTGAGTGACATGATTGAATGGGATTTACTCGCCATATTTAGGCATGTCTATGAACTCAGGGATCTCACTGTTCTGTCGAAGGTTATGAGATCCTACTGTGAAATAAAGCAATGCACTTTAATCCCTCTCTCTTAGAATGAGTCAACAAGGTGGCTATACCAAGATCCTCCACGGCTGACCAGATCACCCTTTAATCTCAACCATGTTCATCATCTATCCAGACTGCTTGTCCTGCCCCTAATGCCACACCCCAGACTTCCTTGGCTTTCCCTGCACATAGACACAGTGCCTTTACCCCCCTTGGCCAATTATCTTTTGGGTTTAAACTTCCCTTCCTCCATGAGGCCTTCTAGGGTACTAAGACTGAGTCATATCATCCCTTTGAAGTCCCCATGTCCTGCTCGAGGATTCTCCCATCATTAGTCTGCACATTATACTGTAGTTACAAAGGCTAAGAGAAATGACCATTAGAAAGTGGTAAATGACCCTGTGAGCAAATGGAAATGGAAGAGGAAATGGCGCTAGGACATCGGGGCAGGAGCTCCAACTTTGGAGAACTATTCACCTCTATCAGGTACCTCTCCTATCTGGAATCTCTGGGAAGAGCATTGCTCCACTGCCACGCATTTCTTCCCCACTCTGTGACTCATCCTACACATACAAAGATATCCAACTTAGGTCCTAACCATACAAAAACACACAAGTAACAACCCTAAAAGGTCAAGGTCACAATGGTAGAACAACACAGAAACCCACCAAGCTTAGCGAGTGAAGAATCTAGGCCGGATGACCCAATGAGCAATAACGAGCTATATGACCTCTTCGATAAGGAATTTAGAATGGAATTGTTAAGGATGCATAAGGAGTTCTAAGAAACAATGGAACACAATGCAAATAAAATACAGGAGGATATGAGAGCAGAAATTGGGAAAATGCAAATGAAAATACAAACAGAAATAACAGACCTGAAAAACCTAATAGGAGAAATAAAAAAAAACACACTGGAAAGCCTCACCAGGAGAGTAACAGCAGATGAAGACAGAATCAGTGAGCTCCAAGACGAGGTGCAGAACATCCCCAGACTACAGCAGAAGATGGAAAAGACCCTCAAAATAAACCATCAGGTGACAGGAGAAAAACACAAGGATGCCAAGAGAAACAACATAAGAATCACTGTAGTACCAAAGGGCAGTAAAAAAACCCTGATGAAAAGCAACCATCAAAGGTATCATTGGTGAGAAGTTCCCAGAGCTGAAGAGTACATGCACCCAAATCCAGGAGGCCTGAAGGGTACCAGCTAAAATAAAATCCAAATAAAAAAATACCCCAAGACATATCCTAATCAGAATGATGAAAACCACAGATAGAGGTAGAATACTGAAAGCAGCGAGATCAAACAAGGAAACTGATTATAAAAGAGCATCCCTAAGATTCGCAGCAGACTTATCAGATGAAGCCCTCTGGGTCCAAAGACAGTGGTGGGATATAGTGAACAAACTCAATGAAATGAATTCTTCACCAAGACTGCATTACCCAGCCATACGGTCATTCAGATTTGAAGGAACAATACACAATTTCACAGACAAAGAACAACTCAGGCACGTCATAGACACAAAACTATTGTTACAAGAAGAACTAAATGAGCTACTTTAAGATAAGATACACAAGTATAGTCCCACAAGTATACCAAACTCCTACATTAATTGACACAAATCCCCATCACAAAAATCTTTCTCAAAGTCAATAGACTAAATGCACCTATCAAGAGGCACAGAGTGACAGGATGGATGAGAAAATTGAAACCAACATTATGCTGCATACAAGAAAAACAATACTCCAAGCAAACAACCCCCTCAAAAAGCTGAGGTGGCCATACTAGTATCTAATCACATGGGCTTCAAACTGAAGAAGGTTATAAGAGACAGTGAAGGTTATTTCTTAATGCCAAGGGATTGGTACACCAGGAAGAACTCACACTCCTAAATGTCTATGCACCTAATGAGGGACCAGCAAAATACTTGAAATGACTGCTAATAGACTTGAAGAAAGACATTGACGAGAAACTTCAATAGCACCTTGTCACCTCTCAATAGATCAGCCAGACTAAAGCTCATCAAGGAGATACCTTTTTTAAGGGAAGAAATGGAAGAGAGGGAGTTAGTAAATATATACAGCACTTTTCATTCCCCAAAAGCTGAAGACACATTCTTCTCCAGTGAACGTGGGACATTCTCCAAGATAGACCACAAACTGGGACACAAAACATACCTTCATTAAATTAAGAGGATAGAAATTATATCTACTATCTTTTCAGACTATGATGCATTGAAAATAGAAGTGAATCACACACAGAAATAGAGAAATAAATCAAACACCGGGAAATTAAACAGCTCACTACTGAACAACCAGGAGAAAATCGAAAGATTCCTGGAAACAAACAAGAATGAGGACACTAACTATCAGAATTTTTGTGGGAGACAGCAAATGCAGTCTGTTAAGAGGAAAGTTTGTAGCTCTGCAAGCATTGATCAGGAAGGAAGAAAGGGCCCATATTACTAACTTAACCTCTCAGCTTAAGATCTTGGAAAATGACCAACAAAAGGAGCCCAAACCAGGCAAGAAGAAGGAAATAATAAAACTTAAAGCAGAAGTCAATGAGCTGCAATCCCCCAAAACAGTCCAAAAGATCAATAAAACCAAGAACTGGTTCTTCGAGAAAATAAACAAGATAGATAAACCACAGGCAAGACTCATGAAGAAGCAGAGAGAAACCTAATAAATTGTATCAGAAATGCAAAGGGGGACATCACAACAGAAACTGCAGAAATTCATAGGATCATCAGATATTACTTTAAAAATCTTTACAGAACAAAACAAGAGAACAGATTCCTGGATTCTTATAACCTCCTAAGGCTGAACCAAGAAGATTTGGAATACTTGAATAGACTGATCAACATCGAGAAAATTGAAATGGTAATCAAAAATCTTCCCCAAAACAAAAGCCCAGGTTCAGATGGATTCACTAGTGAATTCTTTCAAAACCTTTAAAGAGGACTGACTGCCAGTTCTTATCAAGCTTTTCCAGGAAATTGAACAAACAGAGACTTCCAAACACTTTCTATGAGGCCCTTATCACCCTGTTACCCAAAGCAGAGAGAGACAACACAGAAAAGAAAATTACAGACCGATATCACTGATGAAAACAGATGAAAAGATCCTCAACAAAATACTAGCAAATAGAATTCAACACTCATCAAGAAGATCATACACCATGACCAAGAAGGATTCATTCACAAGGATGGTTTAACATTCACAAATCAATCAACATAATACATCATAATAAAAGAAAAGATAAAAACCATGTGATCATATCAATAGATGCAGAAAAAGCTTTTAACAAGATCCAGCACCCATTCATCATAAAAACTCTCAACAAAATGGGAGTCGAAAAAGCTTTCCTCAATATAGTCAAAGCCATCTATCACAGGCCCACATCAAGCATTATTCTCAATGAGTAAAAATTGAAAGTCTTCCCTCTAGTATCGGGGACAAGACAAAGTTGCCCACTCTCACCACTTCTATTCAATATAGTACTGAATGTACTCACCATAGCAGTTAGGGGGAAAATATAAAAGAAATCCAGATAGGAATCCAGAGACTGATTCCCAGGGCATCTAACCATCTGCTCCCACATTTATCACCCATCTAAAATAACAAACTTTTAGTACCTGCAGGTAATCATGACAGCTTTGGAGCTGGAACTGACCCCTCAATGTGACTGACACCTGATGTTTCCCTAGTGTCTTGGGAAGCAAGCCCTGGACCATCTTAGTAATCAGAATGGCCACCCAAGGAATCTAGCAATGTAGTGATTTACTGATATTTTAACTCAAATGACCTAAAATGAAGGCATTGTTCTCTCCACATTATACCTGGCAGAACACTGAGATCCAAAGAGATTATGTATCTTGGTCAAGGTCCCACAATTTTTATTTGGCAGAGTCAGAATTCAACCTAATATTCTTCTAGCCCCATATCCCATGCTTCATCGGGATCTTCATTCATTAAGAATGAAGGAGGGAGGAGGGCGGAAGGGACCAACGCCCTTTCCCCTCCGGGCAGACATGATGGCCTGGATTAAGCATAGTCCTTTCACTTTTCTGCTCCAAGCTGCTGGGTTCTGCATTAAGTCCTTGTGCTTCTGGGGCTGTGGCCATGCTGGAGAGCCGTTCATGGGGGGCAACTGGTGACCTCGGTAGGGCGTGAAGGGCGGACCGAAACGCCCCCCTTCTGTCCGGAGGGGAAAGGGTGTTGCCCCAGTCGCCTTCTCCTCTCTGGAAAGAAAGATGGCGGCCGCATGGGAGCCTTGTGGACAGCAGGTATGAGCCGGGGGGCTGGAGGCGACTAAAACCTCATGGGAAGGGGGGCGTTTCGGTCCGCCCTTCATGCCCTACCGAGGCCACCAGTTGCCCCCCACTAGCGGCTCTCCAGCACGGCCACGACTCCAGAGCACAGAAACCAATTTCTTAACTATCTGACTTTCAGTAGAAATACTTCCAGGGTCAATAAGTAAAATAGCAGAAATCCAAAACCAACATTTAATTCTTGAACCCAGCTGTAGAAAGCAAATCACTTCACAATGCTTTGTCAGCATGTCTGATTTGGGGCGGGGGGTAAACTCTAAATAATAGTGGTGAATCTTTTATTGAAACAATGAATCTAATCAAAGCAGATAGAGTGTTAACTAGAATTCATCTGCCCCACAGGGACTGGGAGGGGTGGGGGGTGGGGTTTTATTGGGGTTCTTCATGGTAAAAAATAAGTTTTGGTAAAGGGAAATGTGCTTGATATTTGCATGACTGAGACCTAAACCTGAAAGCTTGGTAACCTTTCCCATGGTGATTCAATAAATAAATAAATAAATAAATAAATTTTAAGAAAAAAAAAAAAGAATGAAGGAAACTGAGATTCAATCATTCAAAGAAAGAAAGGGTTTGACAGATAGAGCGCTAGATCCAAAGGCTGGCATGTCTTCTTTACAGATGGGAGGCCCAGGTTCCATCTCTGGACCCACCTGGTCTTCGGAGCACGGCAGGGAACAATCCCCAGTGCAGAGCCAGTAGCCCCAAACAAACAAATCAACACAGAAAATAATGTCTCTAGGACAGGGAAGAAAATACTAAGACAATGCAGGAAAGTGCTCACTCGGGAAGAAGAAGGGGTTCTGAAGGTGGTGAAGTGTTATGCGTGAAACCCTACCAGTAACAATAATGTGAACCACAGAATTTAAAGTGATAAAATTAAGTGCCTTTCATAGAGTCAGACTAGACTAGTGGATGGGAAGGGAATTAGGGAGATTGAGGATGGGATTGGTGTTGGAACACTGTATGCCTATAAGCCAATCACAGGGGGAAAACATATAATTCATGGTGACGAATTTTTTTAAATGATATATTAAAAAAAATACTGACAGTCACATTCATCACGTACCACAGAACGGCTGCTTCTCATCGGTGTCAAAGAATGCTTTCGTCATAGGAGGATCTTTCTCCCATAAATAGTCCTTCCAAGTATCAGCATAATAGCCTGGAAAACGAGTTGGAAAAGTGGACTGTTAACATGTGTTGGATAAAGGCAAAAGCGAATGGAAAGGTAACGAGAGCAGCAGGTTTGGCCGCTGGAGATGCTGAAAGCATCCATCCCTCTTGCGCCATGGTCAGCCCTGCTGGGTCACCAAGCAGTATTTCCCGTACTCGCCACACCCTGCTCACCACCCTGAACCCCGGAGCTGGGCTTGCAAAGGGACCTAGTGGCATAGCCTCCTCCTCCATCACCCAGTCCTGGTTCTCAGTTGTGGGGTATGGGTTGTGGGCATCACACATACACACACACACACACACACACACACACACACACACACACACTGAGTGGATCTAAAGGCATATTGACATTTTTTAGTAAAATCATTTATTTCTGGGTGCTGGAGTGATAGCACAGCCCCAGTAGGGTGCTTGCCTCGCATGTGGCCAACCCCAAGTTTAATCCCTTGTATCCTATATGGTCCCCCAAACCCACCAGGGGTAATCTCTAAGTGCAGAGTCAGGAGTAACCCCTGAACATCACTGAGTGTGGCCCAAATGTTAAAAGAAAATAAAAATCGTTTCCTAAATTAAAATGGAATTAGGTGGATGTCTAAAATTTTATCGCTCTTATAATGTGTTTTCTTGAACTACAATTATGCCTGCCACACCCATATGTCATGGCAAAAGGAAATGCCTCCCCTCAAATTCTCTGTGTATGTGTGTGTGTGTGTGTGTGTCTGTCTGTCTGTCTATCTGTCTCTCCCTCTCCACATCCCTCCCAGCAGTCTCCCAACTCAGAGCATTGGATGTGAGGGCGATCTGGCTGCAACATCTCTCACCCCACTGATCTCCAGGGCTGATTCGGCGCCTGGTCAAAGAGGACGGCTTTCCCCGAAGAGAGATGCGCTAATCTTCAGTTGAGGGTATATGAGTAGCTGCACTCCCCTGCTAGAACCTCCAAACAAGCTCCCAACTCTGAGATGGGGCAGAACCATCATTTAATACTAAATGACGGGGTAAGATCATTATTTAATAATTTTTTAATTAATTATTTTTTTTATGGAGGCACTGTGATTTACAAAGTTATTCAAGATTGGGATTCAGGCATACAATGCCCCAATACCCATCCTTTCATGGTGTTCACTTCCCTCCATCAGTGTCTCCAGTTTCTCTTGCAACCCCCATCTACCTCTAGGACAGATACTTGGAAAAACAATTTTAGGCACTGTGGCTTACAATACTGTGACTGTTAGGGTTTCATGCGTAAGCCTTTATCACGGTTCAGCATCCCATTCTCCTCCAGAGTGACCACTTCCCTTCACCATAGTCCCTTCCCTGTCCTAGCCTGCTGCCCCTCCCCCACCCCCAGTGGTTTCCTGCCTCAGCATTTTAAAAGCTCCCTAACACTTCCATTGCACCCCATAGCACAGAGAACCCCTTGTCTATAACACATCTTGACGCTTCATTTGGGGGCTTTCCTTTGGGGAACAATTTAAAAAGCCTCAGAGCCACCCTGTTGCGAAACCTCTGGCTATTGCTGTTGTTTTGTTTGGGGGCCACACCTGGCTGTGGTCAGGGCTTCTTGCTCTACATCCAGATATCACTCCTGGCAGGGTTCAGGGGACGGTATGGGGTGCTGGGGATAGAATCCAAGTCAGCTGCCAGTCAGGAGAGTGCCCTCCCTACTGTACTATGACTCCAACTTTTGGACATTTTTACTGCTTTTCTAACTGTGCTCATTACAGAAAGACTCCAAAGCAGTTCACAGAACAAGTGAACTGAGTTCATTTTTTTTTTTAACACCCACTATTCAGGCCTGTAGCACTGTATTACTGTCCTCCCGTTGTTCATCAATTTGCTCCAGCCGGCCCAGTAACGTCTCCATTTTGAGACTTGTTGTTACTGTGTTTGGCATATGGAATACGTCACGGGGAGCTTGCCAGGCTTTGCCGTGCAGGCGAGATACTCTCGGTAGCTTGCCGGGCTCTCCAAGAGGGGCAGAGGAATCGAAACTGGCTCGGCCAGGCTGGCTATTTTTTAAAATTTATTATGACTTTTTAAGTGATCATAGTATAGGTAACATGGATGCAATTGTCTTCACATTTATGCTTATGATGTATAGTTTCCACACCTCATCATCACCATAACCAGTACTGTCGTTATGTCACTTCTGGTTCGGGCCCATTTGAGAGAGTGAAGTCACGTTGGGATTCTACCAGACTGGACCTCTTTGTTCACAGGAGGTGGGAGGAGGATAGGGGGTTGGGGTGGGGTCCAGCTTACCCAGCAGCGGGCAGGGCCTCAAGTAAGGCAGGCCACATGTGATGCATTTGCCATTCTTATAATCCCGGTAGGAGTCACAGGGGTAGGCGGTGACATTGCAGTTCTCTCTCAGGGATGAAAGGTACAGGAAGACAGACCTCTGGTGATCACACTTAAAATATTGTGCACCTTGGTTGTGAAAGAGCATTAAAGTTAAGGCATCAGTTAAGAGAGTTGTATATTAACAACAGTATCTCACACACAGTCTCGCATACACTCAATTTATCATCTGTCTCCCATATGCCGGGCACCGTATTGAGAACTTCCACACAATTGATTCCCCTGAATCCTTATAAAAACCCAGTGGTTCACGCTGACAAATTCAAAAAGAAAGAGGAAGGTTGGCGGGGTTACTCTGATTGCTCAGATATTCAAAGAGGTCCAACGTCTCAGTCAAAGTCACACAACGAATTTGTGGTAGAGTCAGGATTCAAGGGGTAAAGTTCCTTGGTAGCCAGAGAAGTTTTGATAGAAAATAAGTGTGTTTAAAGTATGAAGATAGTAGAGCAGCTAGGCTGTTTGCCTTTCACATGGCCAACCCAGGTTCGAGCCCCACCAGGCCTTATGCTCCTGGTTCTATGCTCAGGACTTACTACTGTGTTTGTTAAAAGTGTATAAAAGGGAAGGGCTTCTTTAGGAGACCCCTCCCACAATCTGGGAGCTTCCTCGTCTTTCTTTTCCTTTCCTTTAATGAAGTCTTTTCTGAGTTTGAAAAAAAAAAATTGGGCAAAGAAATAAAGTATGAAGAGGCTGGAGAGACAGTTCAGGAGTTGAGCACTTTCTTTGCTGGTGTTCTGGGTTCAGGGTTAACTCCTGGCGGTGCTGGGAACCACAGGTGAGAACAGCATCAAACCCTCTGACTCTCATAGGACCCCTTTCAACCACCCTGCGGTACCCAAGGAGCCATAAACATCTCCTACGTTGGGGCTTCAACAAGATCTTTTTCTAGACTTATTTCCGTGATTATTTAATGTTCTTTAGCAAGAGCGCGATACACAATTGATGCTTTTAAGGACAGAGTGGTTTCCCTCCCCACTCATGTGGCCCTCCAACTACTCATTTTCATCTTGTGAGTTTTTTTTCTCCTTATAAAAATAATCCCCAGCACTGCCTAGATCCCTGTGCACCAAGGTAGGAACACCCTCAAACACTGGGTGTGCACCCCCCCCCCCACACACACAGACACAAAATTAAATGGCCAATTGAAACAAACAGAGCTGAATCTATTTCTCCCTCATTGATTAAAATGGGTGGGTGAGGAACGGGAGATAACACTTCATCGTCTGGAAAGACTTGGAGACCTGGCCAACTCCAGCTCCTTCTTGTCCAGAGCTTTGATGATAACCACAGCGACTATCTGCTTCTGTCACAAATAGTCAAACAGTCCAGAAAAGGGTAGTCAGAGAAAATAAGTGGGCTTGCCAGGAAGTAGAGCACTGAGGCAGCCTCGCAAGAGAACAAGAGTCTGGGACCAGCAAAGAGCCAGCACTGAGTACTACCGGTATAACCCAAAAACCCCCTTCATTTTTTTTTTTTTTTATTTTATGAGACAGTACGAGCTGTATGAGAGTCCATCCCAGGTGCAGATCCGACCATAGCTGGCCTGCTGGTTACACAAGTCTTTTCTCCCAAAGGGAAGAAAGAAGTCCCAACTTTCTAACTCTAGGAGTAACGTGTGTTTATTGGGGGAGATGCGTATATAACAGCTGACTTGTATTGGGTTCTTAGAAAGCGTGTGACAGTATTCTGTCCGAGGCCTTCTGCTTGCAGAGCCCATACTCCAGCCTTTGACGCTCTCTCCCCAACCCCAGGGCCTATAAAACATAGCAAAAGATTGCTTCATGGTAACAATGTGCCCTTGAAAAGGAAAGGAGAACATTTTGTGGACCATGCAAGCCTGGCAAGCTACCCGTGACGTATTTGATACGCCAAACACAGTAACAAGCCTCACAATGAAGACATTACTGGGCCCGCTCGAGCAAATCAATGAACAACGGGAGGGCAGTGCTACAGTGCTACAGTGCGTGCGTGTGGGTACACTTGCGCATGTGTTGTAAGTTGAAAGTATTTGTTTTGCTTTGTTTTTTTAATCAGTACTTTTTAAAAGGGCTGGAGCGATAGCACAGTCGATAGGGCGTTTGCCTTGCATGCAGCCGACCTGACCGACCCGAGTTTGATTCCTCCGCCCCTCTCAGAGAGCCCGCCAAGCTACCAAGAGTATCTCCCCCACAATGGCAAAACCTGGCAAGCTACCCATGATGTATTCGATATGCCAAACACAGTAACAAGTCTCACAGTGAAGACGTTACTGGGCGCACTCGAGCAAATTGATGAACAACGGGAGGACAGTGCTACAGTAGGGTGCTAAAAAATAATCTATGTTCACTTAGAAAATGCAAAATAGCAGAAAATAGCGATGGAAAAATCATATAGAAGTTCAGTATCTAGACATCATCATTATTATATGGAGCATTTACATTTTACTTTTACTTTCTACACTTAACACATGTACAAATACACTTTCATGAGTTTATTTTTCTTTTTTTGGTGCTTAGGGATGACTCCTGGTGATGCTTGGGATCCTCTGTTGTGCTAGAGATCAAACTGGAGTAGGCTGAATGCAAGGGAAGCACATTTACCCCTGTACTATCTCTCCAGTGTTACACTAAATTAATATATTGATTTTATATTAACTTATATTAAAAGATATCTGACCTCACTATAAAAATAAATAGTAATTATCCATAGAGAGTGTTGTGTCTTTTTCACTTTACATAATTCTCTAAGCATTAATCTATGAAAATATGGCTCTTAACAAGAACAGTCTTTTGTGTGAGTACATCATATTCTCCTACTAATTTTTCTAAGGTGATCATTTAGATTATTTCTCAAACTTTCACTACATTGAATAATGCTGCATTGAATGTGTTTGCATTTTAATCTTGTTTACACTCTCCCATTATTTTTCTAGGACAGGTTTCGGTAGAGTTTCTAGGTCAAAGACACACCTTTTCAAAAGCTATATTTCATAATAGATATTAATCATACAATGATGATTTTTAAAGAAGTATATCTGAACAAAAATTTCCCCCCAATTTATTGTTTTTGTTGTTACTATGGGGAGGGGGGAGTTCGTGCCATGCTGGGGATCAGACTCAAGGTTTCTCAGGTATCCCACATGTGCCCTACCATTTGAGCCCATCTTCAGTCCCTAAATACTGATTTTTAATCTGTATTTATTCCACCTCTATCATCTCGGAGAGCCCAGCAAGCTACCGAGAGTTATTCGATATGCCAGACACAGTAACAACAAAGTCTCCAATGGAGACGTTACTGGGCCCGCTCGAGCAAATCGACGATCAACGGGAGGGCCTTTATCTTTACCTTTATCATCTCAGATAGCACAGCGGTAGGGCGTTCGCCTTACAAGCGGCCAACATGGCCGACCCGAGTTCAATTCCTCCTCCCCTCTCGGAGAGCCCGGCAAGCTACTGAGAGTATTCAATATGCCAGACACAGTAACAACAAAGTCTCCAATGGAGACGTTACTGGGCCCGCTCGAGCAAATCGACGATCAACGGGAGGGCCTTTACCTTTACCTTTATTATTTAAAAAGTACTTCATGAGGGCCAGAGAGATCATATAGAGGTTCAGGTGCTTGTCTTAAGCATGAAAGACCCAGGTTCAATTCCCAGCACCACCAGGAGTAACCCTTGAGCACAGTGCCAGGAGTATCCCCTAAGCCCCATCAGCTATGTCTCCCAAAGTCCCAAAACAACCAACAAAAACCAATACTTACAATTCCTGCATTGCATACAGTTTCATCCCCAGTTCTGTGTATGGTCCCCAAACACCAACAGAAGTGATCCCTGAGCCAGGAGTAGCCCAGGAGCAGTTCTGGATGTGGCCTCAAGTTAAACAACTGATATTGTGAGGGCGAAACTGATGCCATGACAAGCACAGCTGACATTAAGTCTCAACCAGGCCTCAGTTTCTGTTTCCCGGAGTAGGACTTGCAGTTTCTGGTAGATTCCCAGTTGAGTAGTTTGCCAAGATAAGGAACTGGGCAGTTGGGTCTGGCCGGTTATGAGGGGTCACTGCACCCTCCTTAGAAACTGTTACTAACCATTGCCTAATTGCTGACCACCATTGTAATAGGGCCAATGCTAAAAATAGACCAGTATATAAATTGCCCTTAACTCTGAGCCCTATATAAACTGCTTGTGATTTGGAGTCGGAATCCTTGTCACTGTGTTGGATGAGACTTGGACCCTAGCTGTGTTGGATGAGACTTGGACCCTAGCTCAGGCTAGCGCTGGCTCAAGCTAGTAATAAAGTTTCTTTGCTTTTGCATTATCATATGTGGACTCGGTCTCTCGGCAATGGGCGATCTGAAACTCAGGCACAACATTATCTTTAAAACATACACAAAGCTACTCCATATAGAATATATAAGAATTTTTAAACAAGTCTTTTGTTAACTATTATTTCACAACATTTAAGGTATCTACACTTACCGCTAAATATTGTTTTGGGACAACCGGGTTGATCTGTTCCTCCATTTGGGTAAAAGTCTATGTTTCCTAAAGGTTCTTTGTAGCCCAGAGCTAAAAGAGAATAAATTATGCTATTAGATGAGGTTGAGTCTTTCTCATTCACAGTTCATTTGCCTGAAGAATATTTGCAGAAATTCTTTTGTCCTGGTGGTTATCATTGTTTCACCTATTCAAATATATTTCCTAACCTAAATATCGGTCACGGTCACGGTCCTCCTGTAGTTCATCGATTTGCTCGAGCAGCCCCAGTAACGTCTCCATAGTGACACTTGTTACTGTGTTTGGCATATCTAATACATCACGGGGAGCTTGCCAGGCTTTGCCGTGCGGGCGAGATACTCTCAGTAACTTGCTGTGCTCTCTGAGAGGGGCGGAGGAATCGAACCTGGTTCGGCCAGGCATAAACTAAATATAGTAAAAAAAAAAATTAGAGAGGGGCTGGAGAGAGAATATAGTGGGTAGGGCACTTGCCTTGCAGATGGTCAACCAAGGTTTCATCCCTGGTACCATGTGAGGCCCCTAAGTGCAAAGCCAAAAGAGTTAAGCCCTGAGCACTGCCAGGTGCAGCCAAAACAAAAAGACAAAAATAGTTGGGGAAAGAGCTCAGCATAAGGTCCTGAGTTTGATGCCTGGTGGTCTCCAGCATCGGTCACTTGTGGAGCACTGGATCACCAGGTGCATACCACTGTGTGGAGGAACACCAGGAGGGACCCCCAAGTACCTACACATTGAAGAGGATACCCCTTTTCCCGGGCTGGAGTCATAGCACGGTGGGTAGGGCGTTTGCCTTGCACATCGCCGACCCAGGTTCTATTCCTTCGCCCCTCTTGAAGAGCCCGGCAAGCTACCGAGAGTATCCTGCCCTCACGGCAAAGCCTGGCAAGCTACTCATGCATATTCGATATGCCAAACACAGTTACAACAAGTCTCACAGTGGAGACGTTACTGGTGCCCACTTGAGCAAATCGATGAACAACGGGAGGACAGTGCTACAGTGCAGTGCTACCCCTTTCCCCAAATCAGAAGGACTGGGAGGGGGTTCAAGCATAGAAGGCACACTTAGCATGTAAGCAGCCCGATGCCCAGTGCCAAACACAAATAAAGCAACAAAATAACAAAATAAAAATAAGAGATACTTGGAAAAGCACCTGCAGGGCGGCAGAAACTGGGAACACTAGGTCATAACACTTTCCTCTTTTCCTTCTTTTTTTATTGGGGGAGGGGGCACACCTCACATGCTCAGAAGATCCCTCTCCGAGTCGTGCTTGGAGGACCAGGTGACACCAGGGACTGAATCCTGGACTCCAGCAGGCCAAGAATCATGCCAGCCCTTCGGGCTCGCTCTCTACACCTGTTTTCTGAACTGAATCAGGATCGCTGGTCCACAACCCTGGGTTGAGCTTCAGGTTCAGCTAACTCCCCATCAGAGTCCTGGGACCACCTGCACCCTTCGCAGCCACCTCTCTCCCTTCCTCCAGAAACCCCACTTCTGCTGTCAGATCCCAAGGGTTCAAATCCCAGCTTCCCAGGCGGCTGTGGGCAGGATTGGAAGCCCGTCCCTGGGAGAGGGATCCTGAAGGTGCTGGGAGCCAGCCAGGGGGTGGGGTGGGGGGGGTCAGGCAGTGACACACAGGGCAGGAATGTTACCATCAATGTCGGAATGGATGACGTCGACGAAGTGAGCATCCCCAGGATCTAATCTGTCCTCCGGAGGCTTCCCGTTGTATAAAGGGCCCGCAGGGTCCAGGCCTGGAAGGAAAACAGAGTCGGCTTGGCAGCCCCACGCCATGAGTCACGCGGCTCCCTCCCGGTTCACAGGCTAGGGGCACCCTCGGGGGCATTCCCAGTCAGCCTGCCTCAGCTCCTTTGCACAGCCGGCTTGTCTTTCCCACAGAAGAGGTGGGGCAGTACCATGGACACCCAGACCTCAGCACCAGCGAGAACTGTCCCCAGTCCAGCAGTAGGTACACAGAGAAACAACTGCTTCCTCAGGGGAAAAAATCCACCTACGGGACAATTAAAAAGCAGATGCTGGTCTTAGCTTTACCCCTTTTTATTGGATTTTTCTCTGCTGATTTATCCCTATATTCATTGCAGCACTGGTTGAAAAAGACAAGCAGGGACTGGAGTAATAGCACAGCGGGGAGGGCATTTGCCTTGCACGCGGCCGACCCGGGTTCGATTCCCAGCATCCCATATGGTCCCCCGAGCACTGCCAGGAGTAATTCCTGAGTTCAGAGCCAGGAGTAACCCCTGCGCATCGCCAGGTGTTACCCAAAAAGCAGGAAAAAAAAAAAAAAAGAAAAAGGAGAGCATCTCTTTGTGGCTGTGTCACTGGCTGGCATTATCATGGGATTTCAGGTGTCTGATTTCAACACCTCAAAGTTCCAGTGCAATCCCCCCACCCTAAGGGTCCCTCTGCTCATCCATTTTCATTGCTCCCTGAACCTCCCCCAACCTTCCCTTCTCATTATGCCTGAAACTCCTTGACAGCTGCCACTTCTTATTCGTGTCTACTATCTCCTATGAGGATCAGATCACAAAGCCGATGCGGGAAGAAATAGCTATTATTTCCATTTGACAGATGAGTGAACTGAGGTTCGGGGAAATCCAGTGCCAGACCAGAGAGCTAGTTCAGAAGTGGATAATTCAAAACCGCGCGGCCGCTATTGCGGCCGCGCGACATCATTTTATTCTTAAACCAAGTTGTAGAAAGCAAATCATTTCACAACGCTGTTTCAGCATGTCTGATTGGGGGAGGGGTGGGTCGTAAACTCTAAACAATAATTGTGCATCTTCTATCGAAATAATCTATCTAGTCAAAGTAGATAGAGTATTAACTAGAACTCATCTGCCTCACAAAGAATTGGGAGGGGTGGGAGGTGGGGGTCTATTGGGGTTCGGGGTTAAAAATGAGTATTGGTAAAGGGAAATGTGTTTGGTATCTACATGACTGAGACCTAAACCCGAAAGCTCTGTAACTTTTCCCACAGTGATTCAATAAATAAATAAATTACAAAAAAAAAAAAAAAAAGAAGTGGAGGTGCTTCCCTTGCATATTGTTGACTCTTTGATCTTTGGGGTTACATAAGGTGCCCCGAGCACGGCGAGGAGTGACTCATGAGCACAGAGACAGGAGTAGGCACTGAGCACCATAACTAAATAACCAAACAAAGGCCGGAATGAGAGTACAGCACATAGGACCCTTGTCTTGCCCAGGGTTGACCCAGATTCGATTCCTGGCACCACATATGGTCCCCTGAGCTCTGCCAGGAGTGATCCCTAATCTCAAAGCGAGGAGCAAGTCCTGAGCACCACCGGGAGTGGCCCCAAAATCCAGATAAATAAGTAAATAAACATTAAAAAATAAACAAAAACAGTAACAAAAAAAGGCAAGGAAATCCAGCATCTTAACTAGAGACTCAGTCCCATGACACAATGCATCACCTCTTTCTGTTTCCTCCCTCTCTTCTCTCCCTTCCCTACCCTCCTTCTGTCTTCTCTGTCTTCTTTGTCTCTGTCTCTGTCTCTCTGTCTCTCTCTGTCTCTGTCTCTCTCTGTGTCTCTGTCTCTGTCTCTGTCTCTGTCTCTCTCTCTCTGCTGAGCACTTGGTTTCACTACACTGGGTTTGGCAAGGGCGGGAAGCATGAAACTCACAGATCAGCTAGATAATAGTTCACGTGTCAAAGATAAGACTGAAGTGGGTGTCTTCCTGCAGAAATAACTCACCCCCCCAACACCTTGAGTCTGGTTTTTGCCCTTGGTCAGTGTTACCTGGGCATTTCTCACCACAGTTGTGAAACAACTGGAAAATAAGAGAGTAGTGTCCAAGATGCTGCATGCACAGGACCGAAAACTAAAGCTGAACTCTCCGAATATCCACCAGAGGCACCACATGTTCCTGTGCCTTAGAACCCTCCTGGAATGATCCGTTTGTACCATGGCCGTCACTTGTAAATGACCCCTTGCAACCTGTGGTGTTATCGATGAAATTCAAGAAACGGCATCTTTGGCCAAACTTTCCCAGTTCAAGCCTTCATCACTCGAAAGTAGCGATGCCATTCCAACATGTTTTTGCTTCGTCAGGCATTTTTTTTTAGCTGCTCCTTTCTTTATCTTGTTCTCCTGCCCCTCTGCCAATTTTTCTGCCTATTCTAGCTGCTCCCGCTGAGCCCGGCGTGGGAGAAGATAAGCAACACCCAGTCAGCAGATTCAGGGGCAGCTCAGGGCAGCAGGTGCAAGTCACGATTCCTCCTCAAGGAAGAGAGCACCCGCTTCTGGTCTAAGAGAGGGAAAGAGGGGCCGGAGCAATAGTACAGCAGGTAAGGCTTTTGCCTTGCATACAGCCGACCCAGGTTCGATCTCCAGCATCCCATATGGTCCCCCGATGATCACCAGGAGTTAATTCCTGAGCACAGAGCTGAGTCAGGAATTATGTCTGAATATCACTGGGTGCGGACCCCAATAAAGAAAAATAAAATAAGGAAAAGTAATAATATCTTTATTGAATCCAGCTTATTTGACCCAGTATTTTCAGTTTGGAGGAATGTGCCAAGTGTGGCAGTAATCAGGCACTATTCTTTGCAGTGTGCTTTGGAGTGACTCCTAACAGTGCTCGGGGAACTAGGTGTGCTGCTGGGGACTAAACGGGGGTCAGCCACATGCAAGGCAAGCGCTTTACCTCCTGTACTATCTCTTCAGCCTAAGAATTTTGAGATTTTTAAAACATCTGTGTGGGGGGAGGGGGAAACTGGAGAGAGAGTACAGTAGGTAGGGTACATAACCTGGCACATAACCAACCTGGGTTCATCCCTGGCACTCCAGATGGTCTTTGAACCCATCAGGAATGATTCCTGAGCATAGAGCCAGGAGTAAGCCCTGAGCATCACGAGATGTGGCTCTAAAACAAACAAAATATATCTGTACACATTCATAGTGAGATATATATATACTATTTATTCTTTAAAATTCAGTGTGCATTTTACAATTGTTAATTGTAAAATTGCACATCTCATTTTACAATACCCACATTTCAAGTGCTCAGTGACATCTGTGGCTGGTGGCTACCATATTAACTGGACGGCTCTAGGATGGCCATTCCTCAAAATAGAATGTTCTGATCACAGCTCATCTGGTTCAGGTGCGGAGACCTTAGCCCAGAAATCTGATTTAGCAACCTGGAATCATAGCCAACACCCCCACAGTGATTCTTACACTCTGAAAGGTTTGTATTTGCTTACTGGTTTGTTATGCTAGATGTCCAAGCCAGAACCTCATTCAAAGTGTGTCCTCTATTGCTGAGTTATTTGCTTCTAAACACACTTAAATTTTGGAATTTAATTTAAGTATCAAGTGATGTAGATTCTTGAGATATTTAAATCCATGCATGTCTTATTCCATGATCTATTAGAGAAATGAATTAGAAGTAACGCCAGGAGACAGATCTGGAGAGGAAAGACAGAAGAAAGAAAGGGAAAGGGAAGCAATAAAGAGGCAACATTGAACGCGAGAGATGGTACAGTGGGTAGGGCATTTTGTTTGCCTTACACGCGGTTGACCCAGATTCGAGTCCCGCCATTCCATACGGTCCCCTAAGCACCACCAGGAGTAATTCCTGAATGCAGAGCCAGGAGTGACTCCTTAGCATCACCAGGTGTGATCCCAAAAAGAAAAAAAAAAAGAGGCAATATGACAAAGGTTATATAATGAACAAATCAATTCTCAGGAGTTGGGAGTAAATCACATTCCTGAGTAATAAACCAAATCCCACCCACTGATACATTTGTTATTGTTGTTGTTTTTGTTCAGGGAACAGACCCTGCGATGCTCAGGGGTTACTCATGGCTATAAACTCAGGAAATATTCCTGGTGGTACATAGGAGACCATTTGGGATGCTGGTCCTGTCAGTCCAGCCGCGTGCAAGACAAGGACCTCACCTGCTGTGCTATCGCCCCAGCACACCTACCCTAGAATATTGGGCTGTTACACTGCTTTGCCTGCGTGGCAGTGGATGGGAGGAGAAAGAAAACTGCTGTACCCTTCACGAACAGCAGAGATGGATGTCAGGTCTGCAACTTGAACGCAGTCACAATGGGAGTGTTTACATCAAGGAAATCAGCAGACACTACAGAGTAGGTAGGTTTTGCTTTTATGTTTTTTTTTGATTTGGGGACGATGCCTGGCTGTGCTAAGGACTTCCTCCTGCTGGCTCAGAGCTCAGGGATCACGCCTGGAGGGACTCAGGGGACTATCTATGTGAGGTGCAGGGAATTGAACCCGGGTCGGCTGCGTGCAAGACAACGGCCCTCCCTGCTGTGCTCTCACTAAGGCCTCAGATTAGGACTTTTTCCTTCCTTCCCTCCTTTCATATAGTCTTTATTTCCCTCTCCCTGTCCCTCCCCATCACCTCTCTTTCTCTTTTTCTTTTTTTTCTTTTCTTTATTTAGAGAACGGGCTGGAGAGATAACACAGTGGGTAGGGCGTTTGCCTTGCACGCTGCTGACCCAGGTTCGATTCCTACACTCTTCTTGGAGAGCCCTGCAAGCTACCGAGAGTATCCCGCCCACATGGCAAAGCCTGGCAAACTCCCCGTGGTGTATTCGATATGCCAAAAACAGTAACAAGTCTCACAATGGAGATGTTACTGGTGCCCGCTTGAGCAAATCAATGAACAATGGGAGGACAATGCTACAGTGCTACAGAGCTATTTTGAGAACTTATAGGCTCTAAACAAGGCCCCATTCACCAGAAGAGGAACTCCAGCAGCTCAAAGGCCAGCAAGGCATCTCCTGTCCTCTATACTATAGGGGGAATGAGCACTTTAAAGGAGCTCGCCTTGTAAACCAGCATACTGATGTTTTAAACTGTAAAACCTGCTAGCTAAATACAAAGATGAAATCAGCTTTGGCATTTGGGGTGAAATTGAGAAAGAAATAAAAGAACAATCAAGAAAAACAATGTGATCTCAGGTATCAATATGGTCTAGTGGCGATAATACTATATGTACATGTGTGTGAGCATGTATGTGAGCATGTGTGCGTGTGTGTGCGTGTGCATTCTTGTGTGTCTGTACACGTGTGCATGTGTGTGCGTGCATACGTATGTGTGTGTGTGACAGAGAGAGAGAGAGAGAGAGAGAGAGAGAGAGAGAGAGAGCGCACAGAGCAGAGCCGGGATTCCCAGGACTGCCTGTCCAGTTAAATAGCACATTCAGAGGCTTGGCCCTAGGGCTAGAGTGTGTGCTTTGAGTGCCGGAGCTCTGGCTCCAACCCTGGCACCATGTGGTCTGAGAAACCCCAAGAGAGACCCCCACTCCCCCAAAGCACAAAGCTAGGAATATCTGCTGAGCACTATAAGGTATGACTCCAAAACAAACAAAACAAACCAAAACACAAACCTAAACTTGTGTCCTTAAAAAAAGTTACCTCCCAAGTGTTTGAATTCTTTGACTCCTTCCCTCACCACCCAGAGTCCTGGGATTTAAAAGAGCTCTTTCAGAGTGAGGTAGGGCTATAGGAAGGGAGTGAGAGGGAGCAGCCACCACCGTCTCTGGGCAAGTCCCCCTCCTGGCCTCCATCCGCAGTGTGGAAAGTTACAGAGCACCAGGCAGGAGAGCCCAGCCCCAGAAGCTCCGCTTGGACCTTTGCCCGCTACATTTCTGAGTGTTTTCATTTGACTCTGACCTGAAAGCTGATATTCAAGAGAGCAAGTTCCAGCCACCAAAGTTCCCGTCTCATTTTCCTGCCTGGAGGCTGGGGCCCCAAAACACCCCAGGCAGGTCATCCCAGCTCTCCGGGTTGGGCGAAGGGCAGATGATGCCTGCGTGGCACACGCAGGCAGAGTCCCGGGGAACTGAACAGTTTCTCTAGTCGTAAAAGAAATCAGGTCCCCACCAATCTCTATGGCGCAGGCAGAGTTACAAAGTGCTTGCATTCACTATATTAACTAATAATGTAAACAACCTGAGCTCAATATTACTGCTGTCTTGCTTTTTTTTTTTTTTCAATATAGGACCCTGCCAGAGGCTTAGTTAAGATAGTGGAAGAGCAGGGCCGGAGAGATTAGCACAGTGGGTATGGCGTTTGCCTTGCACATGGCTGACCCAGGTTCGATCCTTGGTATCCCATATGTCCCTCAAGCACTGCCAGGAGTAGTTCCTGAGTACAGAGCCAGGGGTAACCTCTGTGCATCACTGGGTGTGACCCAAAAAGAAAAAAAAAAAGATAGTGGAAGAGCTGGTTTCAAACCTGAGGCCTCACATTGCTGCATACGGCTCTCCCAAAGACCACCCTGCCCAGATTAATGTCCCACCCCTCCCAGCCCATACACGGGAAGCCTCACCTGTGATTCTCCCCAGCTGCCCACTGTACATCTTTCCAACAAACCCAGCGATGTGGGCACCGAGGCTTACTCCAATCATGTAAACGTCATCAAGGGAAGCACCTTCTTCCTGAAATGACAAGAGGGCCATCATTACAAGTTGGGAGACAACATTTGGAAGATATTTCCAGACAGTCAACTTTGAAGAAATATTTCTAAACATCTTCTGTTAATGATTTCAGGAACATGTCTCAAGACCCCTGCCAAGGAAATACCATTCTCTTTGTTTGTTTTTGGGCCATATCCAGCGGTGCGCAAAGACTTACTCCTGGCTCTGCATTCAGGAATCACTCCTGGTGGGATTTGGATCCGCCATGTGCAAGGCAAGTGCTTTGTACTATCTCTCCAAGAAATGTCATTCTTTTTTTTAAGTGGTGGCCAGTTCACAACCAGCAGTGCTCGTGGATTGCTCCTACCTCTGTGCTCAGAGATCACTCCTGGTGAGCTCGGGGGTCCATATGGGATGCTGGGGATCAAACCCGGGTTGGTTGTTTGCAAGGCAAAAGCCTTACCTGTGTACTATCACTCTGGCCCCCCAAGTCCCATTTTTTTGATTATATGGATGGAAACACTGAGGCCCTAGTTTGATAGTCTGTCCAAAGTCAGGCATCTGGGGACAGGGCAGAGCCAGTGTCAGACTAAACAGTCCAGCGCCAAAATGTCAACCTTTAGCTTAATGCCATGGTCTGGATACCTGCTTCGGCCAGAAACCAGACCTCTGGTCTTATCTCCAGCTCTTTTCCCCACCTTCTCAGGCCTTACTCAGAATTGCCAAGTGCTGCCAAGCAGGCCCCAGTGAACTGGACTTATCTTTCTTTTTAAGTCTCCAGATACTGGGCCCACATCAGTTTGACCCCAAGTTCTCTCTTACCAGCATCCGGTCAATGAAGGTCTTCAGGATCTCTGCCACCTTCCTGGTCTTCCCTGAGGCATGGTTATATACGACAGTGGTGGCACCTCGGTTCCAGTCCACCACGATCACATTCATGTCTTTGACCAAGAGCAACGCTTGGACTAAATCATCCATCCACACTGGAGGGGAGCCTGTGGGCCTGAACCCATGGATGATGAAGGTGGTTTTCTTGGTGACTTTCAAGTTCCCCAGAAATGTAGAGTTGATGATTTGTGCACAGTCCTTGTTGATCCCCGTGTAGAGCAGCAGCCTCACCTCTAGCCCGGTCCCAACCACGGCACTGTGAAGGCTCAGTTTGGTGAATGAGGCACATGTTTCATCTGTATCTGGAGAGGAAACAAGAAGGCACCATGAAGGTTCTTTCCCTAGACGGGCATCAAGTCACAATATTGTCCTCTGAGCTAAGGGCAGAGGACAAAAGCTCAGTGACAAAACCTTCCATCTAACAAGTATGAGACCTAAAGTTTGATCCCTCACACCACCCACATATGTCAGGTTGGCCCTGGCCGGCCAAAACAGTGTGCAGGAGCTCCAGTATGTGTGCCAACCCTGCAACGAAGGAGTATGATCTTCCAATGAAGGAGAAAGCACCACAACTAGAGACATTTGAGCACACTGGCTGGGAGTGCCACCACTGGTGAGCAACGTGTGAGCGCTGAAGCTAAAGAGGGTGGTCCTTGGGGAGTACCACAACCAAACATGTGTGTGACACTTGCATTAAAGGGAAAGAAAGAAAGAAGGGAATAAAGGAAAGAAGGAAGGAAGGAAGGAAGGAAGGAAGGAAGGAAGGAAGGAAGGAAGAAGGGAGGGAGCAAACAGATGGGAAAGAAAGGAAAGGGAAGGGAAGAGAGGGAGGAAAAAAGAAAGAAAGGAAAGAAAGGAAAGAAAGGAAAGAAAGGAAAGAAAGAAAGAAAGAAAGAAAGAGAGAAAGAAAGAAAGAAAGAAAGAAAGAAAGAAAGAAAGAAAGAAAGAGAAAGACATTTGGAAAGAAGTGTTTTTCTGACTTACTACTAATGCTCTTTTTCACTGCCTCACAGTACAAAGCCAAGGATTGGATCTAGTTGAATGAGGTTGCAAAACTATACTGGAGGGCCAGAGTGATGGTACAGCAGGTAGTGTGGTTGCCTTGCAGTTCTGAGCATGCATGTTTATCATGAGGGGCCAGAAGCACCTGGGAATGATGTCCTGGACTCTTCACGAATCCTTCCCAAGACCCAGAATCCTTCCCAGGGGACCCAGTGGCAGAGCCCACACTGTCCAAGTCCCTTTGTGTCTCGAGAACACACATGGGTCAGCAGTGGGGAAGGTTCTGGGCCTTCCCTGAGCCTTCAGTAGCATCTAAACCTGCTGACCAAGAAAGATTTCGTGAGCCCTCTCCTTTTCTCTCCAAGCACCACAATCAGTCATGTTCCGCTGAGTCAATTTTAAGGATGGGTGTAGAGGGAAGGTAGGGAATGGAGAATGTAATAGCACAAACTGAACCTGAAACATCTTTCAGCAGGAAGTTAGAGAATATTTTTGTAAAATATATTCCAAAGGACCCGGAGAGATAGTTCAGGAGCTAAGATGCTTGCCTTATTTCCTACAGACCCTGGTTTGAATCCCACCACCACATATGATCCCCAAAGCACCACCAGGGGGTCATTACTGAACACAAAACTAGAAATAGCCTCTGAGTACCAATAAACCCGGTATCATTGAGTGTGGGAGTCATGAAAATATGTGTGTTTGTATAATATCCCAAGGACAAGAAACAAGAAACCAACTGAAATTTCTAAATTAAAGTAAATAAGAGTTGGAAATTGGTCTCAGACTAAACTCTGTAATGGGAAGAATAAATTATTGATTCAGTTAGCAGAAGTTGGATATGGAGGGGCTAGAGAGATAGTATAGTGGGAAGGGCTGATTAGGGTTTGATTCCCAGCACATTATATTGTTCTTTCCAGTCCCGCCAGGAGTGATCTCTGAGAACAGAGCCTGGAGTAAGCCCTGCCTGGTGTGGCCCAAACATTTTTAAAAGAAAAGAAAAGAACAAAAAAAAAAATTAAAGTACAATATTAATGTTAAATGAATTAAAGTTGTTAACTAAGCCACAGTTGCCTGAAAAAAAAAATCCTAAGTGTAAGAAAGTACAGTGGAAATATTTATAAATAAATTGCTAATTTATCTCAAATGGTTTGGAACAAATTAGAGGTGGATAGAAAGCAAATACTAAGTATATGTAGCAGGATGTTAATAATAGTTAAATCTCTATGAAAGATTATTGGTGTTCTGCGATTTTTTTAAATTCTGGGAGCTTTTTTGTAAGTTTAAAACTATTCCCATATAGGGGCCAGGGGTTAAATATAGATAGAGCACATGAGGTCCTAAGTTCAGCACCTTAGCACTAGAGCAGTTAAAAGCTTGAGTAAATTAAAGGAGAAAAAGGACTTATCACTTAATCATTATTCTGTAGGGAGGTTTGGATAGTGATGTTTATTCTCTATAAACCCGATCTTTCTTTTCTCCAGCTTTATCAAGACAGAGTTGGCAAACAATGTTGTGTAAGTTTAAAGTGCATATTGAGATGATTTGATATGATATATATTGTGAAAGGCAATCGAGTTTAACACATCCATCGGCACATTTTTTTTCTTTGTGTACAAGAATACCATGGAGCTGGAGCAATAGCACAACTGGTAGGGCATTTGCCTTGCATGTGGCCGACCTGGGTTCAATTCCCAGCATCCCATATGGTCCCCTGAGCACAGCCAGGAGTAATTCCTGTGCATCACTGGGTGTGACACAAAAAGCAAAAAAAAAAAAAAAAAAAAAAAAAAACCACCAAAGATCTGTTCTCTTAGCTGACAGCAGTCTTGCTGGCCTATGTGATGCCTAGAAATTCAGACCTTATATAACAACTTAAGTATTTTCTCCATCTGTAGGCTGCTTTCATTTGACTCTTCCTGTGGATTGCTTAGTTCTGGGGAACATGGACTGAATCCTTTCTGGCTCCTGTTGAGCAAGTCCCAGAGTGAATTCATTGACAACTTAATGAGTCACTTTATTAATCAGGAAGGTAGGGCTAAGCCTCTCGGTCTCAGTCTTTAGTAAAACTGGGTTTTACTCTCGGCTGTGGAACTGACTCACGATGTGGCCTGAGGAGAATATGTCATCTCTTCCTTGCCACCTACCTGGCCCAGGGAGGAATGCCACAGAGATGAGTTACAACTGAGTCAGACAGCAGAGCTAGAGAGAGCCCTTTCTAAGAAGAGGACTTTTAACTGCTCTGTCGGTTCATTTTCAGCCTGAAGAGCTATGTTAGGTCACTGTGTCATAAGTCACGTATCAGAGATCTTGCATGATTCAGGTGAAGGTTGGAAAGTTTGGAGCCAGAGGCGTACTTCAGCAGAAACTGCCCACTTCATATATGCACAAAATGGCTCAATCTACTTTCTGACCTGCTCCGTCTTGCCTAGATGCTTCAAAACTCAAATGACTTAATTAAAAACTTAAGAAAAAAGGGCAAAGCCATTGATTTTTATTGGCTCAAACCACTTTGACTCCAGATTCATATATATATTTAGGATCTTGGTTATTTCTGTAACACTATTGCTTTGGGGAACAGCCCACAGTGAGTACTGGATGATGATCAATAGTTTTCATAGCTTCTCTCCTTGGCACTAACTACTCTTAACAGTTTCCCATGTGCCAGCACTCATTCTCATAGAAGTCGTGTCATTCATTCAATAAGGATCCACTCGATTTCAGGTTCTACATCAGACAGATTTTAGAGGAAGTCAGGCATCAATGAAGTAAAGTGAACAAGTAAGCATGAGTCAGACATTGTTGAAATAAACAGGTACAAAACGCAGCCTGTGATATTTGGCCTAAAAGAGAAATGAGAGTTTAAACAGGTAGTTTGGTGTGGTTGGGGATTAGGAATCTCCTTTCTCTTACATCATCTGGAAATAATCCATCTTCGTAACAATAATGAGGGATTCCTTTTGCTTCACATTACACTGAGGAGAAAATTCAAGCTCCCAGAACTATTAATCTTTAGCTTCAAAGATTTTTCTCTTGAATTACTCAAATTATTATATCAAGTGTTATGTCCTTTTAAATTTGAATGTACTTCAACTACCTTGAATTCTACCACATACTTTTGTAACTTTCTTTTAAACAAAGGCATTTTCCTACTGCATTTTGCCCTTTTCATTTTTCCCCTTTGAATCCTTTCATTTAAAGGGTTCTTACATATAACATCTATCTGGATTTCACTCCATGACACATTCTGAGAACGTCACAAAATGGGCAAAGGGGAAATTCAGTGAAAGAGGGTGAAACGTTGGTGAGGGACGGAGACTAGATCTTTGGTGTGAACCTAACATATGCAGATGTGGACTTACACTATATACACCTGAGAATTACATAATGTTATAAGCCAATGTTACTTCGATGAAAGCATTAAAAGCATAGAGAAGGGGTGAGGGCCAAGGATGAGGTTCAGAAAGAGAGCACAAGCCTTCTATGTGTGAAGCCATGGATTCAATACTTGAATTACAAAGGACAGAAGAAGTCTCCATAAAGGGCTGTGGGTCTTTGCTGTATTTATTCAGACTTCTGTTTTGTTTGGGGACTGCAACTGGTGGTGCTCAGGGTTTACTCCTGACTCTGTGCTCAAGATCACTCCTGGAAGCTTAGGGGACCATATGGGGTACCAGGGATTGATCTTGGGTAAGATGCTTGCAAGAAAAGCACCCTGCCTGTTCTACTATATCTCTGTCTCCCTATTAATTATCCACTAACATTTGCCCTTAGCATGGGTTTTTGGGATCTGGAAACTTCAGACCATTGTAGAGCATAGCACTCAATTCTGCCAAAATCCCTGCCCCTGACCTTTTTCAGAAAGGTTTTCTCTCCTTCTTTCCTTCCTGATGTTAGTAACTTGAGTCAATTTCAAGTGATCCTGTTATAAACTATGAGGATGTTAGCACACTTAGTACTTGTTCCCACTTAACTATGAAATTAATTTTAGTTCAAATTGTAATCTCTCTTTTAGGTTTTTTTTTTTGTTTTTTGTTTTTTGCTTTTTGGGTCACCTGGCAATACACAGGGGTTACTCCTGGCTCATGCACTCAGGAGTTATTCCTGGCGGTGCTCAGGGGGCCATATGGGATGCCGGGAATCGAACCCAAGTCGGCCGTGTGCAAGGCAAACGCCCTACCCGCTGTGCTATCACTCCAGCCCCTCTCTCTTTTAGTTTTAAAAAAAGTAAACCTCTTTGTATTGATGTATCTATCAATCACGAAATTTTTCTGTTCTGTTTATCATATCAGTACTCTCT